AGCCAATCAAGTTTTGATCACCGCGGTATCTTGGGTCAGGAGAGTTCGTCATAAAGTTACGGTGGTCGGCTTCATCCAGCGTTAGTAAGAATGGTACAACGATACCCGAACAACTTGCGTTACTACCCTCCTCAGGTGCACCGATGGTCTTCTGGTAAAGACGAGGATCAATGTGAAGCCCCTCAATAATGAGCGACTTTCCATCCTTGAGACATTTATCAATGTCGGAATTGACACCCCTGCGTACCACATCGCACTCCTTCTGGTATTCAGCAATAAGGTCGTCAGTTGACGAAAAAACCGTCGTAATGTAGGACGTCTTCTCCTGACTATTAGACAAAATTTTACTCATTCATTCTAATGACATCATGCAGGCGTAATGAGATAATAATCAACAAACCCCGAAAAATTGCACATAAGCTCAAAAATAAGATCTGTCTGCAAGACGCTGGAAAGATTTAGGCGGTCAGCCAGCTACAGACATTTACAAACGTAGCAAAATGTTACGTGCAAACCCTTATCATCTAATACTACTACAACAAACAACGTACTTTGGTTGCCAGCGTCGATTTTCCAATGCAGGCTGTTCCAGCGAGCATAATGAGCAGTGGTACACGATTGCGATGAAAACTAAGTTTGCATCACACTACTTCTTCAGTATTCATCAAAAGCTGTTTCAAAACAGCCAGCTTCTTTTCTTGTCATACCTAGACATCATTGTATAACAGGATATTTGTGGTTTGCCATAACCAAACACCAACATTGTCTTATACAAAAAGTCTTCGAATTGTTCCTGACCAATATCGGTAAAGTTCAAGTCCACCAATGTCTACAAGAGAGAAAAAGTAAATCCCACAAATACGTCCATTACTATCGAATTCACTCTACTTTCTTTCATCGTATCAATCTGTTTGATAGAATTCTTACTCTCTTCAAGTCCAGCGAAATTTGCACTGCATCCCTTGAATTTATCTGCATCCAATGAAAATGTTGCAATTTTTTTTATATAACCGACTATTAGCAAGTATATGTATAGCCATTATCCAAAATCATTCATTTACCTTAGCGCTAACCAATGCTCGACATAATAGATAGCGTGACAAGACGTAGACATGGTCTTCCACCCACACTCGTACTTTAACAAAGTCATACTTGGATTGATTGCGCTTAACTACAACTTCCTCTTGATGAAGATCCATTAAATGAGATACCAATAGAGGTCTTTTAGGTGGAGGTCTCTCCTCGATACTCATGAGACCCGGTAAGACAACATCATGTTCGTTCAGACTCATAATCAAGAAAGCTTGTTTACGTATTCTTACTTTAAGATTTACAAAAAGAGACAAAAGATTCGGACGATGAGGTTTATGATTCGTTGAAATATAAATATTATGTAGCATCATTACTGCCAATCAAAAATGTATAGTTTGACACTAAAGATGCAAGGTCATCGGTATTAATTAAACCGGTAAGACCGCAGTCACAAATAATGTAAGCTAGTGTACAAGGTCATACCTGTTTTTACCAGTTTCCATACCATAATAAAGCATATTGTAAGGCACTATCAACCGATACTTTGTCTATTTAACCACATCTAGCAATCGCTTAAGTAAATCATGATAGTACAATTTCATGTATACCTCACTGAGTGCTAGGAAAGCACAGCTTCGGATATAAAGCACGAAAGTGTTGTAATTGCCGTTACATTAGATTCGCATATGCAACATTTTTTTCAGTGAGATTTGATGGACAAAGCTTTGCGGTAAGATGCACCAAGTGTACACTTGGTTTCACTACATAGATCAGTCTTCTTCGCACCATCTAGCTGTAAAGAAGAAACGTGTTTGTGTTAGTACGTGGAAGGCAAGAGTAAGCACCACCACCACCACTAATACAACCGAAATCTTATTCAAAGGTGGTGCATTTTTTTACCTTATCGAAGAAAAGCAGACCAGCTTGTTTTTCAATGACGTCTAGCGGAGCCTGAAAGTCGCGAAGGTCTTTGTTGTCTGGAATAAACCTGTTTGGTAAAATAAAGCCAGCTGCAGCAAAATCTTTCCCACCTCGCTTTTCCCCCAGCACTACTTTGAAGAAATGTGTTGGAACAGCAATAGCATTTGGTGGAGTATTTAGGACAGGATACGACACTTTATACTCTCCAGTTTGCTTGTTTTTCTACATGTTTAAGACAGGATGGGACGGTATCAGCGTAACACACCCAGGAGTCAACAAGAAATGGTTTTACTAACCTTGGGTAAAAACAGAGGCCCAGTAATGACGTAGATAGCGTCGTACTGGCCAGCCAAGTGACGCATGAACCCTTCAAGGCGTGACCAGTAACCACGATTAAAGCCACCAACCTGTGGTGACATATTTGTCATTAAGAAGCTCTCGTCCATGGCTTCTTGCGAGTGACTCATATCACCTACACGTCACACGACGCAGTAAAGCACTCGTAAGGATCTCACACTGGCGTAAAAAGACATCGTGGTAACAGCGTACGAGCTGGTGCAAGGTGACCCTTATCATAACCACTCTTCAAGTATCGGTTTGGGTGCACCCTGAATTGCTCAGGGACATCTTGATCCACCGCAAACTTGGAGTTCGCTCGATCTGTCTCTTGCTTTACACGCAGAGAGTCCTTGGTTAAATACTCCATCACCCACGACGGATTGCGCGTTCTACATGGATACATGCTCACCAATTAATCCATCATGCCATTGCTCACCCATAACTAAAAAATGCAAAGCAAGTTGGCATGTCGCGATACCGGTAATCGAATGAGACGACGTAACCTGACCGAACGTGAACGTTCGAATTCGACGGCATTCCATAACGCAGTGCTTTGTGTGTGGGCAATACCGTAGGGTGAAACGGTTTGCGTTCAGTTGATATAGGTATGCGTCTTCTTTCCTCGTTCGTTTCTTCCTTGATTTCTAATAGCATTAAAGTCCCTACGATGCCAATGGTGATGCCGAGTGATACACTTGCCAACGTCCGTCTGCTTATCCATTAATTAACATCATTAGACCATAGATGTAGGATACAATAGAACATAACAAATCTATAGATGAATTTGAGGTATTACGCACCGAAAACCCACAGGCAGCAATTTATACAGGAAACGCGCTTTGGCGCTCTGTTTACGTTGGCCTTTCATGGCGAAATTGACACAGTGAGGATAGATATTGTGTTGCCCACATTAGTTTGTGTAAACCGATGTGGTACAATTGCGTGGTGTGCATCAGCCAGCACTAATCATTAACGTACGTAGCAATCAATGTCAAGGAAGAATAATCGTACTAAGATTAAGGCGCAATATGAGCTCGAGGTGGAGAAAGAACGATTGCGCAAGGAGAAACTCATGAAAAAACGTGAACGGGTTTGTGTCTATTTGACTTTCAAGATCCAAGTATGAGTATTTCTTGACTGACTGACGTTAGTTATTGTAGAAAGCAAGTGCTCAAAAAGGAAAAGAGACGGTAGTGAAGAAAATCTCGAGTAAAGTGCTAAGGAGGATGCGCATGCGTCTGATGGAAAAGGAGCTGCGAGGCGAGATGGATGTGGATGAGGAAATGGATAAGAAACAAAAGAAGGGCAAGGCCGACAAGATATGAAAAAGAGACGATGTGATGAAATGCTTCCACGATTATCAGCGTCGATGATGGCGTAAATAGCTTGTACTTGTTGTCTTTCTTTCTTTTCTTCTTTAAGAGTTTGTCTTTAACTATGTAAGCCCACAGTCGTTATCAAAAATGCCCTCAATGCATCACACAAACATTCTAATCACCCACCATGCGCCGCAAAACCTTTGTTGATTTTTTAGTTCTCGTGCTGAAACAATCCTCATCATAGCTACGGATACTTGTTGAAACGAAGTACGCGGTAGAAATGACATATCTGAGCACCAATAATAGTAGTCTAGAAGCAAACGTTTTTCTCAAGACACCAGAGCTGTGATGATTCAAAAGTGTCATGTATCAATCCAGTTTTAAGGAATAAAGCAGAACATCAACTGTTTTGTACAAAAATAAGAAATTTTGTTTACTGAGTTCCTGCTCCAGTTTATTGAACTCGTTGGTACAGCATCTAGACGGCGGCTGTACTCTGCATTGTAATGATGGACAAAAACAACGGCCACACAATGGGCAAAAGAAAGTTTGAGCAGGGTTTAAACGCATAAACATTAGGAGATTTTCTCTGCGCACTGTAGCAATCTTACTGAACCAACCGAATGCCACATTACTTTTGCTGCGACTTGGCTAGTCGTAGAAAACGTTATCGTACGAAAGAGCCCTATACAATCTATGCTCTTCTCCTTAACATCCCTTTAAATTCATGCACGAAACAGTAAAGCTGGTTTCAAATCGTGAAAACTTTTTATGCAGCGCAATACTGACAATCGTTACCACATCACGTGTAGCAGACAAATGACGTCGGGACAAGATGCAAAACAATCAACGAGCGTTAAAGGTATTTTGTGTGTCGGGTTAGTTATCGCTAGCGAAAGAGACCGGAAACTGTAAAACAGCACCCTCTTCTTGTTTTGACCGGACCATTCTACTCTCCTTTTCCACTCCTTTGCTTAAGTCTCCGGTTCGTAATCTGGGTTCTTTCGGAGGATAACAACGCCTTCTAGCACGTTCGTAAGCGGGAGATACTCTTCAGTCGCGAGCTCCGCACGGTCCTTCACATTCAATAACACAGGTGTCGTGTGCGTCTGAAAACCCGTGATAGACTTAGGGCGACCAGCTTGGCCCACAATTTCAACCTGCAAATGACATCAAACGATAAACGTAAGCACATACGCAAAGCAAGTATAACAGACACTTGAACAAATGAGCACGTACCGCCTGGCCAACTCGGACAGATACTGGAAGCGGGTTCAGCTCCTCATCTAGCGTAATTAGCATACGTGGTTGCATTGCTGTGGCAATGCAGTAGAAAATATAGTGGGAAGTATCCAAAATAGTGTGCTCCATATCGAGCGAGGCGTGAAGAATTGTCAACAAACCCCCCGACGGCCACACGAGACATAATCAAACGGTCTGAGTGGAACGGGTGCAGGGTCATGAGACCCTTGCCCATGTGTAGCAAACCTTGAGCAATTCGAACAACAAAGAGGTGGTTTGCCTCGCGATTGTAGAACTCTGACAGTTGACGAAGCAAACCAGCCACTCGCGAGTTGTTTGTGCCAGCCGATACCAGGCCGAGAGCTAGAATGGCATTCTGAGCGACACCCGAGTCAATATCATGAGTAAGGCGCGACAGCGTATCAATTAGTGCATACTCCGGATTCGACACGCTCAACAGAGCAAATGCTAGAGGCACTGCACGGCGTACCACCACTTCACCGTACTGTAGCAAGTGGTCAAACGATCGCATCGCCATTTCACTGCCAATATTTTCACCCATCGTGATCAGAGCAATACCGAGAACGGCAACACTCTGATGTTGCGCCTCAATAGGGTCCTCAATGTGTTCAGCGCAAGTTCGCAGAAGCTGTTGAACCTTAAGTACGTTGCCCGAACCAGCATAAGCGCATGTTTCCAGTGTGATAGCCAGATATTTGGACATCTTGTGCTCAATAGTCTTAGCAGCTTCCAGCATCGCCTCTACACGCTCCTGGCGGCTATATAACGCAGTACACGTCAAACTGATGTTAGAATTTGGATCCGATCTGTACGTAGACATAATCAAAATTACACACGTACCCAAGATATAGCAGACCAAGCCCAAGAGCAAGGAAACGCGCGCATGAAGAGTCCAACTCTGCGTCTGAGCTCTCCATTAATCGTTGCATCAGCACACTTCCAGCCTCTTCGTCACAAGTACCCACTTCAACCATGCCGAGCGCCAGCGCAGCGTACGACACCTCTTGAATATCAGCGTTTTCATCAGCATGTGAAACCACCGGAATCAGTAACTCAGACACATCTTCACGCGCCGATCCAGCGTATGCAATACCCAAGCCCAAGCAGGAAGCACAGCGAATGGAGCAGTTGCCCGAGTCAATGTGCTCAGACAACAGCGCAAGAGCAGGGTCGCAGTCGTTACGAATACCGGCGCTGACAACACCAACACCAAGAATCGCACCGGCCTTGACGTACTCATCCCCAGAGTAAAGGTACTTGTCGATCTGCGTGATACCCTCTTCTACATTCCAAAGCATGATCATTCCCAATGACGCAGCTGCGCTCATCATACCGTGTTTCTTGTTCTTGTATAGCCACGTGTTTCCCTCCGGGGTCATGAGCTTGTCCGTTCCGTAGCCGGCATTCACCAAAGCGTTCACAAACGTCGAGGCTAAGTTAGCACGCGCTGAGTCTGCAGGCTGAGAACCAGAGTCACGACTGCGACCCACACTAGCCGTCTCCGACAAGTGCGATTTGTAAATGTCCTCAGGTGTCTTAGCCTCCACGACATCAAGGTCACGAGCAAGCGACAAAAACTTGTCATTCAAGTCTGAATTGCCAATAATCTCATTAACAGACACCTCACTCTCATCCTCGTAGAAACAGCGCTGGCGACCCAAGATGTACCCCATCTGGTTCCTCACAACGTCATCCTTGCACTTCTGGAAGACTTCAGCAATAAAGTCATCGTTGCTCGCACGTAGGGCCACACGCAGTGCATCTGGGTACTGCTCCAGACGCAGGAACAGTGAGTACGCCGTGTTAAGTAGATTCACCAAATCATCAGCATCAGACATGTAGTCAGCGCACGACAGCAGATAGAGACACACTCTCTGGTAATTTTTTTCGTCAATATCCGGACACTCCAACAAATTTGAGAGCTGCTGTACTTCAATCAAAATATCAATTGCCTCGGGCTCAGCATTGTGCTGCATATGGAACGGCACGATGGCGTCCACAATCTTTAGCAGGTCGCTCACGTCCGGGTCTACTGCATCTACCGCTGTGATTCGAGCATTATACTCCTCACCCACCTCTCCAGTCAATGAGCGTACAAACTCATGACCCCATGAGCCTAACTCTATGCTGTTGCCTAGCAACTTAAACTTAAGGCTTTCACGGGAACCCTCCTTGGCCATGGTCATGGCTAGTACAGCCAGCACGTCCGCCATTAGTTTCTTGGCTTCTCCATCCTGAAAACTTGCAAACGCCATCTTGAGCTTGTCGTAAGAAGGTCGCAAGAACTTCAATGGCTTGGGCACCGACGTCATGGACGACGTGGCCGTCCGAATCTCACGTCGTAGTAGCTCCAATGCCAGCTTCTTGACGCCCACCTCTTCCTTCTCATCACAAACTCGATTTACCGCCATCTCTAGGTCTTCTTTTAGTTTGCGATCCTCTAGCGACTACAAAACAAGATTTATTTCTTAGTAAAAAATGCTGGATGACTTGTTTCTTCGACTGAAAGCCACGTACGAGCTCCTCGTCGAAAGAAGAGTCTTCTGCAGGGTTGATAGACTTAGCAACTTTAGGCTTTTGTTCATCTTTGACTGTAGGATCCTTGCTAGGCACCGGGACCTGTGCCATCTCCTTCATGCTGCTTTAGCTTGGCTTTTATCGGCTTACGTTGCGTTAAAAGTTTTTCCCCCACAGGATCTTTTTGCAATGAGGTGGCGCGAAGGTCGCACGTTTGTTTTGTTACTTTACAACACTAGTTCCAACTACTTTTCAAAGGAGTGATTGTCGTAAGTTTTTGATTTAGTTATTAACATGTTACAATTCCACCCCTTTTTTGTCATACATGCAGTTGTTGCGCATGTTTCGATCCCTACACAGAATGTAGGGAACGTGAGCTGGGTTTAGACCGTCGCCATAACATCCCGTAGTGCTTAGCGTCACATTCTCCATCTCCGCACTTTTTTATCGTGATTTTGCTACTGTTGATGTACGATATGACTCGTGCTGGACCTTCTCGGCTGATTAGTCATGCGACTTGGGTAGTATATTATAAACGGGATGAAATTATTGGCAATAGGTGGGTAGAAACATAAATGATGAGCATGCAGAGACAGTTGACGCCAATGCCGATGAAAGTCATCGTGGCACGTACCGAGTCCGCGAGCAAACTGGCTGAATGACCCACTCGAGAGGACTCGTCATGCGTTCACCGAGAGCTTTATGAGCACGACAGTGCCGCCACATACACAAGAAATGCACGATCATGCACGAGGAACGTGTTGACGATTTTGCCAAAAATGCAGTTCCGTTGCCCGAAGCGCTTTGGCATCATTTCCGTGTAGACGGTCGGCCACGTGCTCAAGTCGATAGAGGATCATTCAATCGTAATAATATCAGGTGATCGCTTCCTTTTCTTTGGTGCCTCAAAAAACGTGTCATCTGGACCCTCAGACGCGTCCATTAGACATCGTGGAAGATGAATTTGAAGCCGATCCTTTTTCAAGTACTGAGCTCGCGGACCAGGAGTCAAATAACAAATCGTGTTGAATGCTGTGTAGCTGATGTCAGGCTGAAGAACGTCGCTACATACGAATGCAACAAAATGTTAGGCGACATAGTCCAACAAATCCCAGCTACAGTCTTTCAAAAAAAGTCTCTGTACCTTAGCAAGAGATTAATTACGATACTGTCACAGATCCTTCTTGACATCGAAGCTACCGCTGGGTCCAGCATTTTCCAGTCCTGCGCAAACTTTCTGGATTTAAACTCATCGACTAGTTGCTTTAGTGTGACACGTTTCTCCCTACCACAAATAGTAATTAACATTGGTGTCGACAAAATTTCATGCTCAAAACCATTTACTTACAATTTCTTGGCGTCCTGTGCAATACGAATAAGAGCTTTCGAGTGTTCCGAGAAATTGATGGTGTCTGTGGGGTCGATACCTTGCTTGCAGTTGTCACATGATTGTTGGCATATTTATCTAGATTCTAAAGCTTCTCTGCAAAGCAAACAGCACCAGGAAGCTCGTAAATGCATCTCATGGCATGACAAACATTACGTCGAAGGACGCACCCAAAATACCGCCATCATAGATTGCCGACATTGAGACAGATCCTCGCAGTCCTTGATCATCGGCCGCATGTTTTTCATGCCCCCAACTTCTCCCTGGACGATGTTGAGGACGCGAAGTGCATCGGATGGTTTATACATTAACACACAACGCGCTGTGTTTCCGTCTCATCCTGCTCGCCGGAGTCTTGGTTGTAGCCCTCGATAGACTAAAACATAATGTCAACCATATCAGTAGAGCTAGCAAACAAACAATAATAACTTCGGAATCGTCCAAACCTTCATTAAATTAAAGTGAATGACAAATCGCACGTCTGGCTTGTTGATTCCAAAACCAAACGCAATGGTCGCGACAACAACTTGGAGCTTATTTCGAAACCAAGCAAGATGAGTTTGTTTCTTGTCTTTCATATACGCATGGTAGCATGCCGCTCGAATATTTGCTTGACGAAGGGGTTAGTGCACCTGATGCCATCTGTGAAATCCTACCGTCTCTGTCGTACAACGGCGAGGGTCTTGAAGAGGTCGTGCGCTCGAAATCACTTATTCAACTGCCCATCGTGTTAAAACAAGACTAAGAACCATTGTGCGTGTGAAGCAGTCGACTTTTGTGAAGTTTTGATTTTGTCTTACACTCAACCAGCTAGGGGAGCATCAAGCTCTAACAAAACGACGCCTTTCCACTCTTCGACTGTGTCGGACGAACTGTTGCCCACGTTCTTCATCTTCACACCATCCACACCAAAGCACCGTTGTCCTTCGCTCCGCTGTACACGCCAATCCGTGTCCAGTATTGCCAGCCGAAATCGCGGATTTGAGCCGAAAGCCAAGCCACCAGCCACTCAAACAATGAAGATAAAAACCAAATCACTATGCATATTTTCTCGCGAATACAACATACAAGAACAGAAGGGAGGAGTACACATGGCACACGGTAAGATAACACCGACTATTGCAGCAACAAACAGACTCATGCACGCGCACGCCATGAAAAGCCCAGGCTGTTCCGCAGTAAGCACTTGTCCCTCAGTCAAGGTTCGTTCTCAAACTGCATTAGCTTCTAGTCCCACGTCCATGTCCGCCAAGCTATTCTACTCGTTCCTTGGCCGCTTCCGTTTCTGCTGTAAGTTCGTCTTCCCTCTTCAGCTCGTCATCCTTCATAGACTCGTCGTCTTTCGTAGACTCGTCGTCCTTCGTAGGTCCGTCGTCCTTCGTAGGCTCGTCATCCTTCGTAGGCTCGTCGTCCTTCCTTTCCACTTCCGCTTTTGTTGGCTCAGTCTCTTCCTCCTTGTCAATAGCACAAGTAGACTCAGTAGTTTCGGCTTCCTTACCATTTTCGTCGCCCTTTTCAGGTTCATTCTTGCCACAAAACGAAAGAATGGTGGTCAGTGACTCACTAAAGTTCATACTACAAGCCACAGAAATTATACACAAAAGTGACTCACCCGCATGGCAATGTGACTGGAAAGCTTAAAATATCAAAGCAGATAGAGCACAACAAATTATCTAGTGGGCAGCAAATACCTAATGACAAAGTAGGTTGGCGCTGATGAGCTGCGTTCGCGATTGCAAGCTGCAGCGGCGCGTTAGAAGAATTAGTCATGAGTGTTACCGATACTTTTTGCGAATGGAAAGTGCATCGATTGGATGAAATTAGCATTTTTGAATACAATAACGGTAGCGTCCCAAGAGACGGGCAAGTGTCGTCCCAAGAGACGAATAGATGTCGTCCCAAGAGACGGGAAAGTGTCGTCGCAAGAGAAGGGAGAGCATTTTCTTAAGCGACACGATGCTGCTAATTTTTTACTATAATTATTCCTACTTAATTGTCACTTTCATAATATTCACCTGGTCTCTCGTCATCGTTACATTAATTACTCCAAACAATAACAGTAAGACTCCTTAAAGCAATAGCTGCGCCGTTACCATCTCGCTTGAATTCGTCGTACAGTGTGACACATCAGTTACCTCACGTGACCATCTCATATCTTCTCAGCGTCGAATAACTTGCTTAGAGCAGCCACTATAATAAGCGAAGGAAAGGCACTACAGTAGTGCTGACGTTTGGTCATGATTGGGGGGGGGGGGGGGTGGTGGTTTGTTTTTGTTTTTTTTTTTTTTTATTTAGAGGGGAGGAAGGAAAAAAAAAAAAAAAAAAAAAAAAAAATTTAAATTTGGGGGGAGGGGGGAAAAAAAAAAAAAAAAAAAAAATTTTTGGGTGTTGGGGGGGGGGGTGTTTTTTTTTTTTTTTATTTTTTTTTTTTTTTTTTTTTTTTGTTTATTTTTTTTTTTTTTTTTTTTTATTTTTTTTTTTTTTTTTTTTTTAAGGAGAGAAATTTTTTTTTTTTTTTTTTTTTATTTTAATATAGTTTTTTTTTTTTTTTGAAAAAGAATTTTGGGGTTGTTTTTTTTTTTTGGAATGTTTTTTTTTTTTTTTTTTTAAAAGGAGGAAAAGAAGGAAAGTATTTTTTTTTTTTTTTTTTTTTTTTTGGGGGGGTTAAAAAAAAAAGGGGGTGGGGGGGGGATAATAAAAAAAAAAAATTTTTTTTTAAAAATATTTTTTTCTTTTTTGGGTTTTTTTGGGGGGCTTTTGGTAAAAAAAAGGGGTTAAAAAAAGTAAAACAAATCACCCCTGGATGATTATGACCAAAGGTTCAGGTATACTCAAATCAAGTCAGCTGCGGTCGGACGCAGTATTTAAGCAAGGGACCTCTACGAGACGGCTCAAGCGGTCAGAAGATCTACTAGACGGCTCAAGAGGGCAAACAAAAAAGGGAAAGGGAATATCAGTCTGAACCAAGGCAGCTTTAAGCGCCAGTGGCTACGGCGATCGCGTATAGAAAGTCCAGGCGATCCGCCCCTTACGACCCAGACCCCGTCACGATCAAGAATGGAGCAAGTCCACCGAGGCGAGCGTAATCTGCCCAGTAAACGGGTACACAAGGTGAGGAAGGACAAGCATACGGTATCGGAGTACCCCCTCCGTCAGTCGACAGTTCGGGCTCCAGTGAAAGGTCGGAATCACAGAGAGTGTTTTGTGATCGCCACTCCACCACATTAGCGATTGTAAACACTTTATTATTAAGCTTTAAGTTCCTAGCACTTGCTTCCACAGCCTCTTAGTGTTGTAACCACTTAATCCTAAAGCATTTCCAGTAGCTGCTCATCGCAGCTTTAATAAAGGCAAAGTGTGATACGCTTGTATCCCTGCTCACAAAGCAATTGCGCTGTCTCATCATGAATGCGACGCGGAGCGACACTTTATATATAAATGATGACAAGGACGTTACCTCTAGGTTCAGCGGCATCGAGTTACCGTCGTGTCATGGTACCCTACGTTTGCAGCGCTCAACGAACGAGGAACGGCATTCCCAATCCGTTTTCTCTTCTCCGAGGAGAGCGACAGCTCAGCGCCAGGCGCCACCACTTCCTTCGCGTTAGGGTAAAAAAAAAGAGGTATCTAACCCTCTTGACACTGCACAACGTCAAGAGCTGGATAACGAGGCCAAATCGGCCGCGTCGGCACGATCCATGAGCAGTTTTCACGTCGTGATATCATTGTGTGCCCTGGAACCCCAATGAGATGCTCGACGAGCTGCATCGCAGTCACTGTGCTTCTATATCATTGAGGACCAGGCCCATACCGCTTGTGTGGTTGCGGATCGTACTGCGCTTCGTAAGCGTCTCCTTACTCTGCCAGAGCTCACAATTAAATTGTATCAGGTGGAATGTCGAGGTAGTCACGTGGATTGCCGGTGCAACCCCTAAAAGATGTACCAGTATTGTTAGCACCAGGTGAAACTTCTGCGCAAGATGATCACCAGCTCATCTTTTGGGTTAAACGAGCTTATAAACTCCTAAGTCTCGATGCCTTGGGCTTAAGCTCAAAGAATCAGGACGTTTTACGTCGTCTGTACTTTGATTATAAATCTAAAAAAGCGTAGATAACCTCCACGTACAAGTCAAAGCTTGTAGAGTACCTGCTTCTAATCACTCGTCAGTACTGTTCACAAGAGTTAGCTACCGCCCAGAAGGTCAGAGGCGAAGCTCGCCTATGACCTTGCTTTCACAGCACCTAATGCTAGGAGCACTCGAAGCTTGCTATCTCCGCTTCTGATTATCTCGATTAAAAGCGTTAAAGAAGTCCGAGAAATATTGCCGGAGAACTCTTGCAAGTCATACGACTTTAGGTCCTCCACTTTGCCAGGTACTACTTACGACCCTGAGGCACTCAAAGTGATATTGTTGCTGACACAGATCGTCGATCAGCCTCCGGGGGGGGGGCGTGACCCATCAAGCCATGATCACCCCCAGATCTCCTTGAAATTAAACATCACGTGAAGAACTTACAGCGCAATGCTCTTGCTCGGTGACGTTGCACCTTATGTCGCTAGATGAGCGTGTCGATCGACACCGTCGCTCTTTTGAGCTGTATCGCTCTGAGCCCTCTGACCGCCTAGCAGCGATGCAGCATTCTCTCTCCTAGTTTCTGTGTCAAATTGACCTCCTGGTACGCCTCCAGCGTCCAATTGCACCATCGATGCCGTATTGCCCGCCCCCCTTCGGCCATGGGTTTTGCACAACCCCTCGACTTCCACCGAGGCCGGGGTGAGGTATGGCTTCAGTACACCTACATAGAACATAGGGTGTGCTCACATCTTCCTAGCAAGGTGAAGCGTATAGGCTGAACCTTTCTTGCTTGTGACATTAAAAGGTCCAATAAAGAGTGGACGTAGTTTCATCTTGTATACCGCAGGCACTGCGTGAGTATGTAAATTTCTAGAGTTTAATATAACTAAGTCGCTCAATTTAAAGTGGTATTTATTCTTTTGCCTTTGGCATCTGCTTGTTCCTTCTGAACATCTTAGGTTTGATGTCATAGCGTCTCGTACGCGATGAATCACGTCAAAACACGTTAGTAGAAACGCTCACACCTTCTTGCGCATTGCAACAGGGCTGAAATCAGACGAGCCTTTGCCATGAAGCCCTGATGGTTGCGCTATTGGTGATATGTGTGGTGAAGCGTTTCAAGAACTGGTAGGTCAGAGGACCGGTGGGTCAAAGCGAAAGGGACCCGCCAAGGAGGAGTGACCGTTGGCTAAGGGACAGAGAGACGGGGCGCTAAAAGGGATGGGGAACGACCGTTGATGAAGAATGTACGGTCAAAGCGTTCTAGTTAGCCGCCATTCAGAGGAGTTAGCCGCGGTTAGCCCGATGAACTACAGTTCCTCGAGGTGGACCCCGGTCTTTCAAAGTAGACCCTGGTTTATCATTGGTAGACCATGGTCTTTCATAAAGGTAGACCTTGGCCATTCGGTCGGTGAACCCTCGGCTTCTGTCTCTAAAGGTCGAACTTGATCCTGCATCAATGGACCTCTGTCCTCAGTCGATAGGCGTTGGCCCTTCGGTCCCCGGACGCTCGGCCTCTCGGTCCCTCGGTTCGTGGACTCTCGGCCTCTCGGTCGATATATCCTAGCCAAGCAGAATCAAGAATCAGGTCTCGGGGGTAAAGATAGAGTAAAGGAGTTAAAAGATAGGACTATATTAAATACTACTCAATTTGCGATCTACATAGCCCGTCCCGTCGTGCTTTCAAGGTACTTACTAAGTCTACCCACCTGTTCCGGGAAGGGATATATTTTGCCCCCCCCCGTCGAAGACAGTTGTGCGGTGAAATCCAAGTGCGAATAGAGCCCCAGGATACATTTGGCTTGTGGGTTCACCTTCCCAAACGACCCGCTATCGGAAGCGGTCTTCCTATCCTAGTGGTTCGGTAGCAAGTAAAGGTCAGGCGGTTAATACCCCTGAGATATCAAGGAAAAGGCCAGGGTTGAGAATCATCCCTATAGAATTTAGTTATAAGCCCACCCTCGACCTAGTCGACCGAGTGGCCACCTACCCGCCTACCGAGTGAAGTATACCCACTCGAGGCACCCCAAGGTCTACCTCTCTTAAAGTCGACATCGCATTTTCAACCAATTCCTCCGAAGAGTGCAACCCGCCAGCCGACGGGTACATAATGTGAGAGAAGGTCTATACGCGGCATCGGGGTACCCCCTCCGACAGTCGGCAGTCCGGCACACTGAGTCGCTTGGCGCCTCATTACGCAATTTTGAGAACCCACTCCACCACAATGGTGCGCGTGCCCGGATCTTTAAAAGATGCGGGATATCACCGCGAATCCCAGGAAGACGAAGATGTTCAATTAAAGATTAAGAAAAGACCGAAGTGTCACTGGAAGATCGATTGCCAGTGACTACTCAAGAAACAACAAAGTATCGAAAGACCAACCGGACCTTGGGTTGGGCCCGGTCAACATAGTCAAGGTTGAACTTATTGAAAAGAAACTGAAATACCCTCCCTATGTCCTCGTTGAGGACACCTTGGGTCATGATATCTATCATAACCCAGAGGACAACCAGTCAATCAAAGGTGAAAACCGATAGACTATTGTCCCCAAAAGTAAAAGAATACAAAAACTACATAATATATGATCGCCATGTCCAAGCCGACCAAGCTCCGGATGTAGGCACCAGGTGACACCAAGTCGGTAGGCCCCTCGACCTCAGGACCCTTGTCCAGGTCGGATGTGGACGTGACCATGGCCTACCATCGACTCAAGATTAATGCGTTTCTGAAGAGTGACCCCGTCACCAGAGCCCTCGAGATCCGACTGTTGGGTCAGCTCAGTGGACCTGCGTCGACCCTCTCCCAAGCAGAGACGGTGACAGACGCGATCACCGCGCTCGTGACCCTTCTTCGCGAGGCGGGTATGGTCGCAGGAAGGTTCGAGCCTGAAGACTTGTTTGCCCTGTGGTTGAACAGTATCAAGACCACGTTAGAGATTCTACACAAACGTCTGGGGATCCTTGTGGGAATAGACCTAGTACTACGCGACTCACCTCCTGCTACTGCTGCAAAAAAACACCGTCTGACGACAGCCAGATGACTCTGCAAGACATCGAGGTCCACCCTCGAGAGCAATGGTCGAACGAGGACCCATGGTGCATGCGAGGTCTATCACAGACCACCTTGCCTAATTATCGCGAGGGTCGCCCGTCGCTAATCACGTGGGCCGAATGCCACCAGGACCGACTGGCATGCCGCTGCTGCAAGCCCGAGCGGAGAGCGCGGACGACGAGCAGCGAGCTTAAGAAACGGCAACGCGTGTACAGGCAAGGAAAACTCGGGTTCTGATAGATCGAATTATCAACCAATCAGAATTGAGCCAAGAATAGTACCGATATACACCTCGTCACGTGACGAAGTTGCCCGGGGAGGAGTGCCTACCGACCCGGTAGGTAATTTACAGGCATACTTCGACGTGGCGATGGCAAAATTTTTACAAGAACGCCAAGTACCGCAAGCACACATCGATAAAAGTGCGGCCAGAGGTTGACAGAGGGCGCAGAGGTCAACGGCCCAGCTGGGTTCAAGTGCAGGTATGCAAAGAGCAAGAGACCAAGGGTTGACTGACTGACGTGGAGATGGGATCGACCGGCTCGTGCGAATACGACCCAGACGACATGTAACTCGATGGACCTCTGGCTAGAATGGCCAATGCCACCCTGGGACAGGTGTCCAACATGGTCCCTCGTATCAAGCTCTCAGAGACCTCGGATCTCAAGGAGTTTCATGGTAAAGACCAAGACGAGGACCAAGCACGCAGCTGGGTGACCACTGTAAAGACCGCGCTCACGAGGGACCAAGCGCCAGATGGGGAGAAGTGTCGTTTTTCGAGAACTATTGACTGGACCTGCCCAGAGCTGGCTACGTCAACTAGGTTGCTCTGTTCGTGGAAATTGGAAGGACTTGTTACAGGAATTCCAGATGCAGTTCTATGGTTTGAGGGTACCAGTGGCCCGCCGATATTACCACGCGAAAAAAAGGTTGGACGAATCCCTGCTGGACTACCGTCTGAATGTCATTGGACCTCGAGCGAAGATCAAGATCAAGGATGGTCCGTCCAAGATTCAAAAGGAACATGTTGAGCACTACATCGAGACCTTGGACGACCACAACCTGGCGGAACAGCTGACCGTGTTACGTTTGGATGATGTGGAAGAGCTGGAGGATGTGCTGAGGGCGCGTCAGCGGACGAAGGCCCGACGAGGCAAGATGTTGTTTTGGGTCAAGCAAGTTTTGCCAGCAAGCACCAATCCCCCCCTGATCGGCCAAGAGAGCTAAACTGCCGCTCTGTTCATGCAGTTCGAACGGCCCAGGAGTGATCGAGCCCCGAAGACTCCAGCTTGGACAGCTCGGACAGTAACGGTGACCTACGGAAGGTCTACCTCATGGCTACAGAGACGAAGAAGGACCTAGGGCAAAGGACCCCGAGGGACCGACCTATCAGAGTGGTCAACCAGCCTCGACCCTCGACCTAGGACCTTGGACCCCGCACGGCGTCGGCAACCCCAAATGCAAGATGTGCCCATTGTGGGTCCAGAAAGCATGGAGACTTGTTGTTGGAAGAGGATGACCTGCGATCGCTGTGGGAAAAAGGGCCACCCATCAGATTGTTGCCTGTTCGTATGTCGAGGCTGTGGAGAAACCCACGAGGTTGGAAAGTGTCCGATGGAAGAGTTTTATAACTTGATCCATCAGTGGTACAACCCGACCAAGCACGCTGGGATGTTGCCGGAGATGGTCAAGCAGATGCTAAATCAGGAAGCTTTACAGGTTTGAATCTGGTACAAGCCAAGCGTTATAATTGTTGCATCTTTGCATATGTGGAAAAGCAACACAAGGGGGAAAGGGCTTCAGGATAACTCGATGGGAAATATATCGAAGTTTGAAAGTAGCCCTGGATCCATGTTGCTTCTTTCGGTGCATCTAACGATTTTGTTTGGGAAAGAGCAGTGATGGAGTTGAACCTACTGCCGGGCGAGTCGAGGGGGTATTGGAAAGACCATACTCCTACGAAATGGTTCGGACAGGCCAAGTGCCTCTGGGAAGATTAACAATGATCGAGCAAACTTGTTGTTTGATGCTGGCGCCAAGATATCTATTTTGGATATCCCCTTTGCCTGTAAGGTAGGCTGCCAGATTGACGAAAGTGAGCGCCAAGAATGTGTTGGTATCGAAGAATCCGTGTATATCACGGAAGGACGTACCCGCATCAAGGTCACCCTGAACAAGAACTTGGTGTACATCTTTAAGGTGTGGGTGGGCCCAATGGTGGGTCAGGATAAAATTTTAGGCATGGACGTCATGGTCCCAGTCGGTATTTGGCTAGAACTGGCGGATGGGACACTATGTCTTCCCGATGAGGTTCCAGTCCAGTTAGCAGGACGAAGGGCCCTTTACGATAACCGGGTATCAGATGTGAAGTTGGGCCGATACGTGCAGATACCGGCCGGGAGGTACAAGGAAGTGCGTCTAAAAAGGTCGACCTCGCACCAATGGAAGTTGTGGGTTACAATGGGAGAACGATGGATCACGACTGTGAACCAAGGGGTAGGAAGTCGGAAGTTTCTGAAGGTAAATAATGTCAGTGCCCAACCCCTGATAATACACGAGGACACCAAAGATAGGTATGTGGCTGACGAAGGACGCCACCAAGTACCAAGAGCGCAGGGTTTTGTGTTCGTGAGGTCTCGAAGATATGCCGAATGGCTAAACCTGGTGTATGAATCTACCACCGACCAAGTCGACTATCAGGAGGACCTGACGGGGAAGGATGAAGGGCCATTGGTGGAGGTACCACAGTACAATACTCCATCTAGAATACTTCAGCAACCAAGGGTACTTTTTCCAGTAATGACTATGGCATGTTAGCCAAAAGTCAATCAGGAAGACCCTAAGGTCGATCAGAAAGACCCTCAGGTCGATCAGGTAGACCGGGTAGCCAGGTAGACCAGGTAGACCAGATAGGTCGGGTAGGCCAGATAGACCCTCAGGTCGACCAGGTCGATCAGATTGACTCTCCGGTCGACCGGGTAGACCAGATGGGAGAAGGTGCGGGGGCGCTGTTAGAGTCGCCGCAAGTGGGTGATCAAGTGTGCACGTTCAAAATTGGGGAGATCTGGGCCGAGGATGTAAGCCACGGGTGGGATATCATACCGGAGGTAAACCTTTCATCCACGAGTATCAAGCTGGAAGATATACAGATTCCTGACTTTGACGGAAACACCCCAGAGAAGGTGGACCGACTGAGACAAATTTTATGGAGAAGACGACATCTACTCATGGGAAAGGGCAACGCCTTACCACCGGCTGCTCGAGGAGCTATCTGTGACATTGATGTGAGAAATGCCAGGCCGATTGCACAACGTGTACGGAAGGTGGCTCCCCAGTTCAAAGCAAAGTTGGCCGATCTGATCAAGGGACTATTATCTGCAAAGATCATCCAGCTCTCTACCTCTCCATGGGCCAGCCCAATCATCATTATTGTGAAGAAAAATGGGGTGGATATCAGGCTGTGCATTGATTATCGGTTGGTGACTGACTTGACCCAGCTTATGGTCTACCCTATACCTCTGATCAACGAATTGTTGGAGGATCTGAACGGAGCATTGTGGTACTGCTCCCTGGATATGGCAAGTGGTTTTGATTTGTCGGCATGACCGAAAAAGCGAGAAAGATCTCGGCGTTTGTCACCCCATTAGGGTTGTTCAAATGGCTGTGGATGCCATTTGGACTCAAGAATGCGCCTCAGATATATCAGAGACTCTTGGATAATGCTTTGTATGGGGTTTTACGTATCTCCCAAGGAGTTGGCACGGAGGAGACCGAAGACTTGTTTACGATGGTGAAGCGTGATGTAAAGTCGGGTCCCTCGGTACTGGGTCGGCGATCCTATATAGATGATACATTGCTACCGGCCGACTCGTGGGATATGTTGTTCGCAAATGTTGAGCGGCTATTAGATGTGTGTGACTATTGGAACCTATCGATCAGCGAGGTCAAGAGCTCAAAGGGGTGCCGGAAGGTAGGCTACCTTGGACACCGGGTCTCGGACCAAGGACTAGAGGCCCACCAAAATGATCTCCAGTCCCTGGTCGACCTACCGTTGCCAACGACACTCAAAGCCAAAAACGTTTTTTGGAAAGTCTGAATTACTATGGTAGATTCATTGAAAATGATCCAGTTTATGCATCAATCCTCTATGAGTTACGGGAATGGATTTTCACGATTGGCAATGTAGGTTGAAGACGGGTGATAGTGTGGTGGCTTAAGATAGAAGACGAGGAGAATTGGTCCAGGGTCCAAGTAGCTTTTGATACGCTCAAGAATAAGATTGCCACTGAACCTATTTTGCGACAATTTGACCCGTCCAAGGAAGCGATAATTATTGTTTATGCGAGTGAATGAGCCATATTTGCGTCATTAGTACAAGACCATGGTGGCATTCTAATGCCGGTGACTTTTACGAGTCAGACCCTTAAGGCCAACGGGTTGAACTACAGTACTGTGGAGAAAGAAGTGCTGGCTTTATTACAAATAATGGAAACTTGTTTTACGATGTTGGTCACTCGACCACTCAAAGTCCTGACGAGGCATTCTACATTGGCGTGGCTAGTCAGGTCTACAGGATTACAGGGGCGTCTTGGGAAATGGGCTACCTTCTTGTCCCAATGAACTATGGAGATTGTTAAGTGCAGGATGGGCAAGGACCACGTGCTGGAGGCGATCTCAGCCAGTATTACTCCTCGCGAAAGTGTGGACTCGATTTTGTCGTTAATTGCCCCCCTAGAAATAGGCGCGGCAAGTAGTTGACTTACCTACACCAATTGTGGAGCCTGACAAAGCGTTATACGTCATGAGTTTTGATAAGTCAGCCCGAGTGAAACAGGGAGGTGGAACCTGTAGTGTTATTGTATGGAAATTACCTAATTGGACCATAGTCAAGGCTGCCTCAAAGTTCCTTATTACATCTACAGTGAATGAGGCCGAGTATGAGGGTATGCTACTGGTTTTCGACCTGTTAGAGCCTCTAGAACGACGGCGATTGATCATCTGTGGAGATTCCAATTTAGTAGTATGACAAATGCGGGGGAAGATCGAGTGTGAGGCTTCAAGATTGTCCCCATTACGAGCAAGAGCTTTAAATAAGTTGCTGTCGCAGCCTACCCAAGGAATCGTGCATGTTAAATGTGATTGGAATCAGAGTGCCAGCCAGTTGGCCAGCACAGCTTTGCGTCAAAAGGGCGGGATGAAGTCGATACCGGAAGAAGAATGGCCAAATTTGGAAGCGATTAATCGTTTGCCAGAGTTACTAGTTCTCAAGTACCAGATTCCATCGGCCAAGGTGATTGCGGTTGCTCGATCTCGACCTCCCATAAAGATATCAGAGGAATCCTGCAAGAGGGTGTGATACAAAGACTCCAGACAGATTGAATCAGGGAGACACAAGATCAAGAAGACTAAGGGCAAGATTTGAAGGTCTGCTTGAGGGGAGATTGGGTCGACCTGTCCATGGAGTCCGCTCACTCGTGCAGCAAGATGGCCAAGGACTACGAGATAAGTAAAGAGGGGCTACTATTGTATTGTCTTGTTCCGAGGTTCGAGGGAGACGACCGAGAAGTAACGGCCGGACTATTGATACCCGAAAATCTCCAAGCCGACGTCCTGCATCACTACCACACCACTCTGAAAGGAAATCACCATGGGGTTGGACGTACCAATCACCTGATCCGACGGTACTGCCATTGGAGAGGTTTATTCCGAAGCGCACAGAGGTATTTGGGGATAGGTGTGGATTGCGAGACAGGGAAAGAAGGACCTACCCAGCAGGGAAAGACTCTAGGAAATGTCGAAGCAACATAGCCTTTCCAGATTATAGCTATGGAATATATTCCCTCTCTGCCCAGGTCGCGTAGAGTAAAATACCGAGTTACTAATTTGGTTCGACCTGTTCACGGGATATGTGATGGCCAAGGCTAGTGCGTCGAGAACGGCCCAGAAGGTAGCTGAAGGATACGAATAATGCGTTTTTTGCCGTTTTGGTGCTAGCGAGGCAATCCGCCACGATCGAGAGCCAGGGTTTATGTCAGATTTCTTTCGGGCGTTTAGTCGCATGGTGGGCCAGCGTCAACAGTCTACCATGGTCTATCGACCTCAGGAAACGGTACCGTCGAGAGGATGGTTCAGACCCTGACTAGGGCCACCTAGATGCAGGTCTCTGATGTCGGACAGCAGGATTGAGAAGAGTATGCAAAACGACTAACGTTTGCGATGAACACCGCGCAAGACCGAGTCCGGAAGAAAACATCGTTCTATCTGGTCGATGGTTGGGATGCTAGAACCACCCTCGAGACTGCATTACCTGTGGTAAATACGCGACGTCGAGGATCTGGACCGCGCAGATGGAGATATCACATTCAGCAACATTATTAGCGGGCGAGAGCCCAAGTGAATGAGAATCTACGAGCGTCCAGTCAAGCTCGGATCTTAGCCCATAACGAAGGGGTGGTCGACAACAAGATTGAGCCGGGAACTCAAGTATGGCTCTACCTGGACCGCGTGAAAGAAAAGTACGTCAAGAAATTAGCCCACATCTTGCATGGACCATTTCGAGTTTTAGAGTTGATGGGAGAACACGCAGCACGTTTGAAAACTCGAGGCATGGAGTACAGGCTATTCCCTGTGGTACATCGTTCCAAGCTCAAGAGGGTTAGAGAGTTCCCCGACCGACCGAGGTCCATGATAAAGACGGACGGAATAGATCGGGTCGGCTTCGATGAATGCCTGTTGCCGGAGGACAGTTGGGCAGAAAGAGCTGGAAGAAGGAGAGTACGAGGTCGAGGAGATTTTGGAAGCCCGCACTGGAAAGAAAACATGTTACGGGAGACAATAACGAGAGCTTCTTGTCCGATGGAAAGGGTATGAGGACCCCTCGTGGGTGGATGCAGTGGATTTGAATTGTGGAGCCTTTTTTCGGGATTTCGAACGCAAGGAGACAAAAAGGAATCGTTTCGAAGCTATGCAAAATTAGGAGGAGTAGAGGCCGAAGCCGAGGGTCTCGGATGGTCGACCAGAGTCTATAGTGGGTAGACCTTGATCCTTCGTTAGTAGACCCTGGTCTTCCGAGGTTGAACCTGGTCCATTATTCGTAGACCTTGGTCTTTCGAGGTAGACCCTGGTTTTTACGATGGTATATCTTAGGCTTTCGAGGTGGAACTTGATCTTTCGAGGTGGACCCTGGCCTCTAGTGTGGAGTGTTATGAAGAAAGTAAAAAGGCTCGAAGGTAGAAGGGAAGCAGCGATACAAGACGAAGACTGAGGAAGATGAACGCAATTATATTATGGACATACTTACGGGGTGGGGAATAACTTGTCCCGGAGACGTGGCACCGAGTACCCAGGATGGAGCTCGGACGAAAGTCAGTACTGTGTGATCCAAGTGTAGGTGTAGTCCGAGAACCTCAGGGCTTCCAGCAGGTCGGCGAGATCCGAACCTTCCTCACCCCTTGGGAACCAGTACACCACACGGCGAGGTCGGGGATGGTGCCGGAAGAAGGGGTCGAGCAGTATGTCGATATCGCACCAACCGTCGCTTATCCCTTCAAAACGTAGGTGGCTACCCCTCGCCACGCCCGAATCGCACGACCACGACATTTCTTCCGTGTATTGCAGTACGACGAGAGGAAGGAGCTGGCGCGCACTTGATCTTTGAATATCCATAAGCAGTGAATAGCCTCCCAGATTGCTTGGCTGTGATCTTCGTCAAAACGCAGGTAGGTCGCCTACAATGCCGCGAGCCAGCCCACTGGTTGGAAGGATACAGGAGGGGTCGGGATACAAGCTGACATCCATGGTCGGGCGACCAAGAGGCTCTGGAGCATCGAAGAGTTGACCAACGACGACTTCCACTTGAAAGGTCGATCGAACTTCGCGTCTGGTAGCCAAACCAGCCCCAAGACAACTCCAGGCGGTCGACCAAGTCGCTAGGGGTCATCGTCACGATACTCAACGAGCTGACCATGTCGGCTGACCAAGGCGCCACCTCCCATAACTTTATCTGCATATACCCAGGGATGAAGTCACCCTTCGGAATTGTAGGTGACTCTCCTGGGGCGGAGCCCGCCTTGGTGACTGGGGCGGGGGGCCTTCTCTCCCGTAACCGACTCGATCTCGGAGTCCGAAGATCCGAACATGGCTCGGAATAACTCTGGACCTGGAATATTTACCGGTCGGGTGACAGAGTCGGCAGAGACAGCTGGGAGCGGCGGGTCGTTAGGCGTGGTGCGACGCCGGAAAGACCGCGAGCGAGCCAATGTCGCTCGGACCACCTCGCTGTCGTTGCTTGCATTGTCATCATCCGGGTTAGGAGAAGGTACCAAAGGTAGACCCCGTGGGGTCCCCGACTTGGGCGCCGACGAAGCGGAAGTGCTGATATTACTTGACTTGGCAGCCTTGGGAACCTTAGCGGTCGTCTTGGCCGATAGACGCCGAGGTCGCTAACCCGTCACCGCAGTGGGAGGTACTTTAGGAGCAGTCACGGGAGGAGCCGCGAGATCCTTGAATGGATTCGTGCTGCAATTCTCGTGCTCCAACTCCGCCATCATGAGCGCGTATCGGCTCTGACGGTAGTCCATTCGCCACCGCAAATGCTCCACCAGCACTCTTTCGTGCTGGGGTCCCTCTTGCAACTGAACCACGGGGTGGTTGGTGCCTCGCAGCTCTCTTTCGAGGACCTTACACCGGGTGGTCCAGTAGGCGTCGAAGGCGGGGACGTGAGTATGTCGATCTTCGCACGCCTCAAATCTTCGGCTATATGCGTCTAGGCGGTCTTTTAGGTCGCGCAGCGTCTGAGGTATGTCTACGGGCCCACCCATCGCAGACGGAGGAGCACTTGACGATACAACGGGCGGGACACAAGTGACCGTCCCCACGAGATCCACCACAGCAGGGGAGCTAGAGGTCGACCAGGGTCATCCACGTCTGGTACGCCCTCATCACCTACGGCTTCAGAAGGACCCGTTGTGGAATCCCTTGGCCCGAGCACCTGGAGAGGAGTGTCGATCGGCATTCGGTAGTGAACCTGGGCCTCTGGGCTAGCGGAAAACGCAGGAGTGACCAAAACCGACCACTATTCTTGTCTCGTATTATTCTTGGGTCGAAGTTACCTACTACAGTGGATACGTGCTTGGATCCTTTGAATTGATACCCTCACTTACCAGTCCTGTTGCGCTTCTAGTCAGGGAAAGGAGTAATGTTCAAAAGTTTAGCAATATCCCCGTTGCGGTTTCTGTTGCCATTCCACTTCGAGAGCTGCAAATGTATCAGCTCATCAGCAAGAGTTTTCATACTCTCGTCCTTTGCGTCTCGTCCTGAAACTAGAGCTTCTGCTAACGTAGTATCATTCGTGTATATACTTTATAATGCAGAGAGTAGATCCTTTGTGGAAAGCTCTTTGCTGAGCTGATAACAGTGACATAAATTAACAAAACAGGGCTATCTAAAAGCCCGACACCTTTCTCGTGACGCTTCAGAAGCGTAAAAATGTCCGTCATCCTTTTTATCCCCTTCCACTGATTAAGCTGAAACTCGAGCAGACGTGAAGTGAGAGATTTAATCAAGGGGATTCCTTCATCTAGTCCGAAAACTAGAACACTGCCCAGCATACCATTTTTCGTGTAATGACTTTTTAAGATAAAAAGCATTTCTTTAGTGACCATTATTGGTGGCTCAAGTTGTATAAAAAATGGGCTTGTGCGTATGTACGCACGTGTGAAACGTGTCAGCGGTTGACATCCTCCCTGTGCCTTTGGCGAGTTTGACTGTACCCTACGGGTTCTGGCAGTCCATCAGAATGGACTTTGTGTTTGGCCTGCCGCGAGGTGGGGCATGCAACACTGGGATTGGGCTTTGTTGACTACTGAGCAAGATAGCTCATTCAGCGGCAGTGCTGGGCCCCATTAATGGAGCAGGAACAGTGAAGCTGTTCATGGATCGTGTATTTACACAACACGTACTGCCTGTGGCAATCGTCTCTGATCGAGATCCCTGTTTCACGGTAAATATTTGGACTTGTCTTTAAAGTGCTTGACACGAGACTAGACATGTCCACGGCGGATCATCCAGACCGAAAGTCAAGCATCGGTCTAACACGTGAAGGCAGGTGGTGGAGTCAACGGAACGCGAGGATTAACCAGACCGTACATAGAAGGTAGAGGTAGTAATGGAAGTGGGTAATGTGGATCAAGAAGGTTCGCTGACGATGTTGGATACAAATACTTTAAAATAATGTTCTGCCGAATTTACGACGTCAACTCCCATTCTTGTCTGTATCGAGGGTCGCCCACGACAGCCATGCTCCCTGGCGTAGGCCAGCATTGGGATTCCCTGGATATTTAACAGGGACATGCCTTCGCTATTAAAGTAGAGACCGAAAATCCTGGTCGTCTACCTCAACCGACTGGCGTACGCCCACTGCAAAGAACGACTTCGCAAATCTCAAAGCTTTGGTTGCTATCACTCACCGTCTTGTAACCAAGGCGGCAGCGAATAGCTGGCAGCACGACCTCATGGCAAGATCCCCAGACCATGTGGCTCATCTGCATGGCCTCACGGATTTTCAATTTGGACTGCATACCGGGTCGCGACGCACCACCTAAACTTCTTTTTACATGGGTCGGCCACCCGGAAATCTGTTGCCTCACCGGGACCCAATTTGCCCGCAAAGGGAAAACGTATGAGCACCTATTCTAGAGCTGTTGGTTGGCTCAAGCGATCTGGGCACAGCTCATTAGCCACAGGAAAAAGGCACTACAGTGCAGCCTGGGCAATGCAATGTTAGAAACGCGCATGTGCGGCTCGAACCAAGCCGCCCCTTTTCGTCTTATATCCGACGAATGGTAGCTCAGCGGTACCCTGACGAACCGGATGGCCTGCTGCCAATTAGGCTCGATATTGGATGCTTCTCTGCACGGTCGCGGCCACGAGCCTCTAGATCGTGCGTGTTAATCTAGTCTTTCGCGGTGAACGGACAACGGGTAGTGGCATACTAGTCCGCAATTTACCATCGCCAGATGCGACCACCGCAAGGCGGACGCTGTTATTCGCGGCGCCACATTACAAGCGTGCATCGAGGTCCTCACCTACTCACCAAAAGAGTCACGGATACCCCATAAAGAGTGCCCTCATACCGCGTTGCGTCCTTCGACGCCGGTATTCTTACCAGCTACAATCATACCAAGAATCTCGTACTAAACAGTAAATTGACATTTTTACTCTCCTCTCTGCTTGTCTGCATGGACACCCCCTTGAGAGAGAGAGAGACCTTGGTCATCTTAAGCTCCTTTATAATCGCGAGAATTGCTGAAACTGTTCAACAATCTTGTTACTGGTCGAAGGGGTTCATAGACAACTCTTTTTTGATGTGCGTGCAGCTAATGGCGTTGGGCTTTTCCAGGAATAGATGTAAAGTAGCTGAAAAGGTTTAAGCACACAATTATCACGAGCAAGGCAAGTGATCTTTTTGAATGTACACCAGGCATCACATGTAAGAGATAGTGTAGAACTAGATATGTGAATAACAAGTAACCTTGGAACTTCGTGTCATAGCTAGTCTTACCGCCCGACGCGACGATTCAAAACTAACAAGATAAGAGATGAAAGAAAGAATCATTTCGTCGCCAAGTTCTCGATCCAAAGTCGATTTTGTTATTGCTGTCGTCGTATGACGACGTCCAGTCAGACACTCTATTTTAAGCAAAAGCACTCAAAGCCTCAAGTTTGTGCCGACACCTTTTATTTCCTCCTCAACTGAGCACACGCAGCTTCAATAACGTGCTTGCACAACCTTATGCGTTAAAGACCTCAGAGTACAGAAAGACGCACTCTGCTCGAGGCATACGCGTCCAAATACTACGCACGTTCGCCTTTGGGCATCCAGCAAATCCACGTATAATGATAAAATATCCAAAAAATGCAGAGAACACAACGACAGCCAAGAGCCACAACCGTTCCTCAGCGCCTCCCCCTCCGTCACCATTCCAGTCAGTCTAGTTTCATTTTTTCTTTCAAACCACTCCGGCGACAAAAATGACAGACCAACTGCTGCTAAAGCCGTAGCCACGGAAGCACTTGCCATACCACCTCTACAGCCCCAGCAGGTCCATCACCACGAAACCCAGATCTAATGCGTGCTTCCTCACAAACACAACCGCGCATCACCGCAGCCTCTCCACCTCGTTATTGTGTCGACTTGCTTTCACTGTCACTCAAAGCAACAGCTGCCGTCGCTTTCACAGCCGCAATTGGCGGGTCAGCCTTTACCACATCGAGAAAGTTGCGGCCACCCCATGCACCAGTCTTTGGCAAAGATTCATCTACCATCGGGACAGAAGCATTTGTCGGCGCGCTCTCAACAGTCTTAGCCGCCTTTTTAACGGCCTTTTTCTCCTCCTTGGCAACAGTTTTTTTCGAGGCGGTCTTGGACGCGGGTTGACTGACAGGAGTCGAGGCTGGAGTACCGTTAATAACAGCTGCGGCGTACCCGACTATCTTTGCAGGTACAGCAGTCGATTTACTTGCCGTAGACACAGCAACGGCCGACGTTGAAGTGGGAGCAGCATCACTTAATGCAGGCGCACTATCAGCTTGCTTGCGCTGCTCACGAGCCTCCTTCGTGTAGTCCTCACCGTACATCATGCTCTCGTAGTCGATGGATCCAACCGAAACACTTCGGATCGGCCGTCCTTGACGCATAGCATCTCGAGCCTGCTCAATACTGTAGGTGCGCTGGTTGCGCAGCAAGTCAGGGTGTGCCTCAACAGTCAGAGCAGCCGGATGCGCTGCACAGTCCATCTTTCCTTCGGGTAGCATGCAGTCCTTTTCGTCCATGTTCTTGACAATTTCCATAATGTCCTCATGAGTGTACTTGTATGTGATCGCGTTCGACGTTTCGCTCTTCTCCACAGCTGTAGGTAGTGGAGGAAAGTTTGCCGCATTCATAACGGGTTGGCGTTCTACCGGGGCAACGGTAGGCTTCTTACCACTGCCGCTTCCATTTGTCAGGTGCTGAGCCACCACCTTCGAGCGTTTGTCCTTGTTCTTACGAGAGCTCGTTGCTGCCCGCTGCTCAAAGCTGCCGCTCTTGACACGTCCTTCCTTCTGGTGGTGCAAGCCAGCGTTATTAGGCCGACCCTGTCGACTTTGTCCACGGCCAGCAGCAACAGCACCAGCACCACGCTGGTTAATACCTTCGTATCGGAAGGTTTCCGCCACGTTGTCGTTTCTATAGTTTTGATCCCAACGTGGGTTTACTGTGTTATATCGGACGCCATAGTTGTCGTAATAGCCTACATCAGGCGAAGCGTAGTATCCACGGCCGCCGTACGGCGCACTTGCACCAGAAGCAATGACGTTCTCTGCTGGTTGCGCGGGGTAAAAGGATTTAAGCACGTTTTCAGATTTCAAACGGGCCTTAATTGCGGCGCCATTGAACGTTTTACTGCGCAAAGCAAGCAGCGTGTTTACTGCTTCCGACTCTGAATGCATGGTCACAAACCACGTATCTCCAACGTCGCTACGTATACTACTAACTTCGCCACAGTCTTCAAAAATGGCCTTAACTTCCTCTGGCTTCGTAGACGACGGAATCTCACGTAAAATAATGGTCGTGCGTTCAGACTTGATATTAGGTTTGATCGCGTCCTTGAATGAGTTGAGTGAACATACCTACTCAAAATGAAAGAAAAATCAAATATTGTCAAATAATGATACGATTTAATGTTGCGTTCAAGTAATGGTTGACATACCGTCGAGTTCTGCACAGCCTCAATCAGCAATTCGGTATTGTCCGTGAGCTGCTTGATCTTTGAAAAATTGATGATAACGTCAACAGGCACGTACCTATAAAGAAAACAAAAGTTTCATAGACAAGTTAATAGGTTACTACAGACTGCAACAACAACAATATATATATATATATAGTAGTTGAATAATAGTAATAATACATAGTAAACCACATACATTTGTGAGTTCATTTGTGACACAAGATAAGCGTCATTAGCAAGATTAGCACGTGAAAAGTAAAATTCTACTTGACGTTTAATGGCCTCCTTTAATTCTTCCACGTCTACAAAAAGAAATAAATTATTCATACCAATAACAAGTCAAAGTTTAATCAACTACAATACACTGTATGGAAATGCCTCGAGAAGTCATTGCATGTAGCTAGCTAGCTACCTGTTGGGACTTTGATTTGCGTGTGGAATTCACCCATCTTTGTACTATTTAATATACTTATCAGCCACTGAAGTCTGTGATCGGGGTCTCTTAAGGCCCCGAAGCGTGTATCCGGTAATGTTTCGTCTCGATCTCTCACTCTCTTTTGAGTCTTTACACCTTAGTCAAGTTCGAGAGAGTGAGTGACAGCAACAGAACAGAGGAATGGATGGCGACGATGGTTTTGACCTTGCCGGTCGTGTGGTTGTGTATGTTACATCAAAAAGGTTGCATCTTTCAATATCATCAAACGTCTATCCGTTTAGATGTTGGCTACTATATCTACGATCTTGGAGGCAAGTGTGATTTGGTGGTCAAAGCTCATTACGTCTAACTTTGGTACATGCACGAATAGTGCAAAATGCTATTGATCATGTATAGCAAATAATACAGTCAGATCATATTGCAATAGTAAATAGAAGCAAACAACTCCCTCACCTTTGACTGGCCGCCCTTGGTCACCTCGTGATGTTTGACCCATACAAGTGATCGATAATAGACGTAATTACAAACGTAACGCCCTGGATCAGTTGAAATAGTAACTTTCGGGTGTATAGTCTTCAATATCATCAGCATTTCCTCTAGAGGTACTTGAGTTGAAATGTTATTTGGCTCGCCCTTGTGAATCACTTCATTCTTGGCAACGTATCCTTGTTCATCCGGAATCTGAAAGTCCGCTATGTTATAGCCCACCTGTTCCAGCTTGAGGGAGCACGCAATGGAACTCACTCCAAAGTGCAGAAAGATACAGGGACGTCCACGTTCCTAGCAATAGTCAGTAAATAATAATCCATCTCTCAGTCCAATTGATTCTCTCAACGATGGAAGAAAACAAGTAAAAAAAAAAAACATAGGACCTCATGTACCTCTGCTCTTGTGTACACGTCCGCAAGAGCCTTAACACAACCTGCAGTAGCAATAGCAATAGCAAACAACGATTAGTATTATTGCTTTCCTGTACTCAAGAACTAGATGAGGGGGGTCAAATGCTTTTGTCACACTCGCTGCGGAAACATTCAGGACATGCGCCTCCGTTACGTTCTGGTGCTCCACTAACTTCTGGACCAAAAATGTCGTCGGATTATCCAGGATGTCACCAAACTTGCCGAATCCAGTGACGTATACGTCACGTTTTTGGGCGTTAGCAGTGGCTTTGGCGGTGATGTAATTAGCAGCGGCATTGCTCGCCATGTTGCGTGAGAATCAGGACAAATCAGGGAATGACAATGTACAGGCTTGATAATAAATCAATCCAGTACAAACATACAACGCAGACAAGTAAACGTGTTGACATAACTTGCTACATCACTTCATAGTTCGAGTGTGGACTGTCAGCTTTACTTGTTTCTGGCAAGTGCTCGACGACGTTGAATTCCGTCGAGCTGCAAGTCTGACGGTTTTCATGACTTTGTACCTCGCCACTTTGACTGCCGATCTCGGAATCCAAGTACGTGGCGTTAATGGCATCTAGATCGATGTACAGACCGTCAGCTGATAGACTAATGTTGTCTTTGAAGTGATGGTCCACCAGGATGTCGCAGGCATGATAGGCTTTTCGAGCGACCATGGTGTCGCTGACAATGCCGTCCTGGCCCGTAAAAAGCACAACGAAGAAATGGTCTCCTGACAGCAAGTCATTTGTCGACAAATGGTAGAGAGGTGAGCTTTCGTCAATGATGTGAGTAAGAATGTCGCACAAATTGATGATGGGCCAAACGTTGCGTATCTGCATCATTGTTGCGCACAGGCAAAAGTGAGTTGGTTTGAAGGTTACTAACCACAAACACCAAACAAGAATAACAGCAACTTGATACCAGCCGCAATTCATGAATGCTTCTGTGTCCAAGGTTGCGATTAAGCATCACTACACTCATCCTAGTTTCACACAAACCCATATGTCAATATTGCTAGCCAATTTTCGTGTCAAGCGCAAATTCCTACCTGAAAGAACCTTCAAGTATAACTCCAAATTCGCGGTTGTTCGCAGCACGAAACATAACAGCGCGATGTGAATGGAACCGATTTAGCAGTAAAACATTACTGTAGAGCAGTGCTGACGCTTTTGGAATGGAAAACTTTGCCCACGTTATACCTGCTTGAAAAGTAGTGACAGTGGAGTTAAAGTTGTGAACAACATAGCGGCAAAGCAAGATAAAGACAAACTCGTCACTAATGTCGAGACGAAGACACCAGAAAACACCAAAAGGAACACGAAAAAGTTGGCAGCGTTGCTATCTTGTCGTGGACTCAGAGCTCTGTAGCCAACAGTGGATATCGTCTGGACGCCAAAAAAGAAGGCCTTTTCGAACTTTTTTGCAAAACCACTTTGCATCGGTTGCTCGAGTGGATTCTGGATCTGTCATGGATCCAATCATAATGTTAAAGCAACAGCCTTCTTTCCTATCTAAGCTTACCCTTCTTCCACGTACCGAAATGGTAATCAGTAGTGCAATCGTCGCTACGACCGACAAGTAGGCTAATATGAGAGACATTAATAGCCTTGGCCACGAAGTTTCCAGCGCTACTTGGTAAACTCCATTCAAAAGAAAACTGTGAGAGCGATTTCTGACGCGGATCCTTCTTTGTGAAAAACTTATAGAGTGCCCTCCAAACTTTTCGGCCCATTCTTCGTCGTCATCAAGATTCCGTGGCAATGAGAAATTATCTCGCTTCATCGCAAGCCCACTAATTCGTGCCAATCCGGTTGAGGAAAAACTCACATCCGATTTGTCTTCTTCGCGTTGACAGTCTTCGATTGTCTTCCTCATTGCTGCGTCATCACGATCATCGCAAACCTCGCAAAATCTGTCGTCAGCCAGCATGGGGGGATGTTTCACGATCCGCTTGAAAGCACTGAGAAAAATGTCGATTCGCGTGCTTGAAATCAGCATTAGTTACTTCATTGCACGATGTCAACAAATCGTGCTCTTCCTTTTCAGACGATCTTGTCGTGTTTGCTATCACCAAATGCTCATCGAACAAATTAATTGGATCAGGAGCTACTGCTGATATTTTGCCCAGGTCAAACTTAATAACTCTGTGATGACTATCCCACTCAAGCGTAGGTATAAATCTGGTACCCCATCTCATTGCTTCTTGACTGTATTCCTGTTTCTTGTAAATCATATCGTGGAGGTTTTCGTCCAAGCCGGAAGCGAGTAGTATCAAAACGAAATCTGAGCAAACGAGATCATTCTCCGTCATATTGAATAATGGACTGTTGTCAGAGATAATGTGTGCCAGTTCAACCTCAAGCCTGCAAACAAGACCAAAATCGCGAAATGTTAACGAAAGTAGAATTTACGTCTTGGAGGAGACTCAGACAACGTACCTTAACGAAACAAGACGTGGAGTATTTAGCTTCAAGTCATAATAACACAGTCTCTTTTCATCTTGTCTTCCAGTCTTGTAACGAATAGCAAAATACTTGTGGAATTGGCTGAATGAACAGAGAAGTCCAATAAAACGACGATTCCATTAATGTCTTACCTCGATCCGTATGAGAATGAGCTTGAAGCCAATGTTGATAATATCACCGTTGCTGGCACGCGGAGTTTCATTTGCCACTCGAAATCTCATTTCCAGACGGTTGTTTCGTTGAGACACAGTAAACACCTGATGGTGCTCAAGTTAGTAAGTTGCCTTGGAGTTTAGCAACTGCTTGAACACTTACGTTGCTCAGCACAAGTTTTGGATGAGGCCGTGCAAACTTGACGAAAGCCACACCGGTTACGAAAGAAGTGAGTAGCATAGAGACAAATGACTCAAGCACACCAATCCATCGCGAGCAAGTGGAAGCTGGGTAGAGTGATCCATACCCTGCCACCACCAAGGACAACAGGTACGTTGATCATAAACAATGTGTGTGTTGGCTTCAGCTATACAATTGTCATGTTTGCTAGGTTGCATTTTGCCACTGAGTCAAACGTACCAGTACTTGCAAGCGTTTGTAGACTCAAGTTAAAAAAGTTTCGTGGAGTTCCTGGACTTTCTGGATTCATTCTAGCAACAAAGCAACGTTATTCCACACCTGTACACCAGTGATTTGCACTAGATAATACCACATGAACGTCTTTACCCATTACAAGCTGCAAATAATAGAGCGAATAGTCCAACGACACTGATATAGACTCCAACAAAAAGACACAGCAACGGTATCCAGCTCATCGAGATTAACTGGTACCAATGGGCTATACAGACAGTCAAGATCAGGAACTCGAGCATGCATATAAATGGCATCCTTCGCTGCAGCTGTTGTCTACAATATCGTGTTCGTACCTGGAAATCGACGCTGCGTCCACTGTTTGTATGTGATTACAGGTAAATTAGGGCGAAGCAAACGTCTTCCAGACCAAGCTAGCTCATCATCGAGTTTTATACCTTGCCAAATATCAAGTTCGCAGATCCCGATGCTGCCTGTACGTGACACGCACGGGCATGGACATTTGGCGGAGCGCTGTGCGTACATGGGTTTTGCTGCGCTTTTTGGACGGTGGTACTAACTAATGAATGAAAGATGTGACAGCCACAATTGGGACAAGGCCCGAAGCAAATTAACAAAGCTGTCACAAGTATTACCCATAGCAAACCTATAAGTTTATGGACTGATCTTCCTGCGTAGCTTGGCGACAACAGGTGCAACGTAGCCCGTGACACCCAGTGTCGCTGGATACAGCGAAGAGCTTAATACAACTGCTGCGGCATACCCGCCAAGTGTTGATCCGACTTCTTCCACACCGAAAGAGGCGAGAATAGGCATTAAGTCTACGCCTTGCTTGATTAGCGCATAGAGAGTACAAACCACACCGACGCCAGCCAGACGAGAGCCCATCATATATGCAGCACCGTAATTGTCAATCACGTTCTTGGCCATGTCCATAGCTTTCGACATAATACCAGATTTTGATATTGCCGTTGACGCTGACGCACTTGCTCGACTGGATCAAGTTGAGAAACCACACAATAACATGGTCAATTCTATAGACATCACAACTTGTTGCTATGAAGAGTACAACACTTGTACGCACTTTGGCAACGCCCGAGATAAATACGAAAGCCGCACTCGAGAAAAAGCAGGAAAAACTTTCGCCACACCAGTAGCAACGACCAAATCCAGCGGCAGACGAAAGCGTCGAAACGGGCGACTAGCTGCAAACGCTAATGCAAATTCTGGAGAGAATTCAGACCCCGCAATAGTAATTGCGCTATACATGGCTCCAATGCTGAGGACATCCGATGCAAACAGTACAGCGACGGTCTCACCAGGATGTTTCTTGATCGAATCGTTGAGTTTGTCTACTACGCGGTCCAAGATCGCTGTTTGAGGCTTCAGGTCCTTCAAGTTAGGCGCAGAAGCTCTCGTAGAGAAACATATAACATTACCCAGCTGATTCGTTTGCTGCAGCCTAACGATATGATTAATTCTTGAATAGCCCCAGCTACTGCGTGCGCGCAGCGAGAAGACAGAGGCCGCGAGCATCGCAAAATGTGTGATACGTAGTGCGGAATGGTACAGTGTACCACAACCCATATGTGACATGTTACACCTGAAAAGTCAATCATTTTAGTTGGGGTTGAACAAAGAGTGAAGGTCAAAATGGGAGACACCGCGTTGGTTGGACATGGAGTGACTAACGCCAGTGGCAATAGGAATCAAAACTCCCCCACAGTATCACTTCCAGACACGGAGTCAAGTCATCGTTATTTTCCTATTGACCCAGTACAACAAGTCAAGAAACAGGAGAAAAGTATTGTTCGTTCGAAGCATTCATTCCTGAGTGGGACACCCGTTGAAGAGTTTATAGCAAAATACCAAGTGATAAAAGTATCGTGGAAAGGAAAATATGAGCGTATTCTGGCACTCTCGCCCACGCGCTTCTGTACGATCGACCCTAAGGACTTTGAGGTTACCAATACATGGTCATTTACGGCGTTACTAAGCATCAGTCTCGACGTTATGGATACCCAGGGCTTTTCTATCATGTTAAAAGGACCACAGAAGAATGAACAACTTCGATTGCGCTGTCGTTTTCGATCCAAATTACTGTCGGATCTCTATCGTCTTAAAGAGCAGTATCAGCAATGCAATGTAAGACCCGAGACGGGGTTTCAGTGCTCTAAATGGTCACGGAAAGGGGAAACTCTGAGCTGTATATTGAATGTAAGGACGGACGGAGTCACCATGTTGCAGCAAGGTATTGTACGCTCCAAGTATTTATACACAGAGATGGAGCACTTGACATTGCTCACAGACTCGCAGGATGGATTTGCTATTGGATACACAGGACGTAGTAGACTGCTCTTTAGTCAGCAAAGAGGAGACATTTACCAACGCATTCAGGCAGCGGCCGAAGAAGTTGGCTGCAAGATACAAGCAAGAGTCAATACGACTGCGGAGAAGATTCAGAAAGAAAGAGCGCAGTATGGTGTGAATAAAGGTGAAGCGTTTGTGCAGTTTCATGTGAGAAAAGTGACACCAAAATGCAGTAAACCATGCTCGCGCATTCTTTCACTCCACGAGAAGGTTTTTATTGAGTTGGATACGGACAAAAACGTTATTGCGTGCTACAAATACTCGGACATTTATTTGCTAGTGCGAGAGACGGCAAATGCAGACCAATTTAAGATTCAGTTTTGCAACGAACAGCTGCGGACGTACATAGCCAAGGACCGAGATGGCGTTTTGAGCGCCTTGTATGACATTTGTGTGACGTGCGAGGAAAACTCAGAGTTATTCATCAGCGGTGTTGTGAACCAAAGAGGTCTGCGGTTGCTGCCCTTTTCTGCCGTAGAAGATACGACTGAAACGCACTCATTCTTCAATGACTCTTCGATTGGGAACTGGTATCTTCAGCGCATGGTATCAGTGGGGAAGCTTGGGAATTCCTTGAAAGCTGGCGATAGGAGGTACGTGGCTTCTATGTGTACGTAAATTGCTCAGTGACGTTACAATTTTGGTTGATGCCCAGCTTTGTCGAGATTGTGGCCGAGTTTAATGCAAACGTACCTGCAAGCGGTATTCCTTACAATACAAAGGATTCGATCGTTGGGGATGCTTTACGGCCGATGTGTGCTCAACTTTACTACGTCGCTAAGATAAAACCCGTTCCGGAACGCTCTGCTGTAACTCTTCTTGAAGCATTATTCCGTATTTCATCGTCTTACTACGGTTTTCGTGAGATTGGACAAGCTGGTCAAATTTCGGAAACTATCACGAATCTTTTAATCAACGGTGACGAATTTGTTGTGTTTTGGACAACGCTTCTTTTAAGCCGAATGACAACACACACGCCCCTGACGTCAGATAGTGAGTTTGAATGGATGTTGTTTGTATGTAACTGCCAACTCATTGAGCATTACCTTTTTGTCTATAGATACCTCCTTGAGACATTGCACGGAGGTAGAAATGCATAACAAGAAGGTGTTGCTTACGAACACTTATCTGACGCGGTCTCTTCTCACACATTTGGAGGATATTGACGTGGATCCAGACTGCAAGAGCACATCTCGCCGGCCTAGGGCTGGCTCTCTCGTTATGATGGGAGTGCTACAGATTCTTGAAGGCTGTCTTTGCTCTCGAGCTACTACAACTGGACCTGTTGAGCTGAAGGCTTTGATTGAAGGAGTAGCGAAATCTTACAGTACGCTGCTGAAAGTGCTTTTTCAGTCTCGATGTGCAACCACTGTCGAGGCGTGTACGTATTTCTAGCCTTCATTCATTTACATGCTATTTCTCTCGAAAATGCTCACATAGTTGGTACTTCTAGGTACTCTGTTGCTGAAGACCACGCTCGAGGAATGTGACCCTGTTGTAGCTTCGACCATACGAGATAAAGCACTGACAGAAGGCATTGTGCTGAGGCACTTTTACCAGGGACTTTTCGATGAATCGTTCGATCAGCGGTGTGTAAGCCGATATTTAGTGTCGCTTTGGATGAGCAATCACGATGCATCAAAGCAACTGCTGTCACGAATCATCCCTTCCGGGTTTTTTTTATTTGCTGAATGAACCTCCCAGTACTCCGGCCGAGGTCGAGGACTATGATCGACTTGAACGTCAAGCAATGGAAGCAGAAAGGCACGAACGTTTTGGAGAAGAAAATGATGACCGCGTGTCCTCCACAAGCCGTTTAACAAATCAAAACGGGTCAATTGGTTGGTTGTCTCGTGGTCAACCAAGCAGTCTTGCAGATTCAGACGCTTCCCGAGAGAAACCTTTTCAAAAGAGTGATTTGACGGAAGATATGGGCGATATAGATGAGGAGATTCGCCGCCTATCAGCGACAAACTTACCAGCCACAGAGATTTGCTCATCAATTTTGGGCGAGCGATCATCACTGGCAAGAACGGGTGGCAATGGACGAGATTGTTTTGATACACCGATTGAAAATGGTCGGTCGAAGGCTCGGATGTTGCGCAAGCTGATAAGTTCGGTTGATGGAACAATCGTACGCTTTCCAAGCAGTCCAAGGCACGCAGATATATTGCGTAGCTCCAGTTACGGCTCCACACCTCGTCTCCGAAAGAGAGATGTTGCCTTGAGCTTTTTTGGTACGCTTGGTGGCAAAAAGACACCTTACCGTGGGCACAATTTTTCGAAGGCGAAACGTTATGCAGTGCCGCGCTCTGGCCGCGTACAAGCGAATTTTCGCCTTCTCTTCTATATGATCAGTCAAGACCACGAGACCGTTGACCTCATTTGGAATAAGAAAACTCGTGAGGAGCTTCGGATAGCTCTTTACAACGCAGTCAAGCATTTCACTCGGTTTCAAATCACCCTCGGGGGCATGAAGGCCCGATGGAACTTTGAAGATTTTAGCGTGTCGTATCCAAGCTTAGCCAATGAGGTCATGGTTGGTGGGTGTTACATCGGCATTTTAGCGCACCTACGCAGCAAGATATCATTCTTTGGGACAGTCACAGATGAGGATGAATTTATGGCTCTGACTCCGGAACAGGTCCATGTTAGAAATCCAGCAGCAGTCTTGGCTGCGCTTTATGTACGAATGCTACGAGAAAATAGTCATGCTGAGTACCGGGAGGATTTAGAGACGTCGATACTGTGCATCAAGAGCATAGGAGTTGTAGCTGCTGCACATGCTGGAAACAAAAACGCCGCGGACTTTGAGGAAGTTGGGTACCTGTGGGTGCTGATGAGCGAGACGGTGCATGCTTCCATGCTGGAGAATTTTCTCCATACGGTACGAGCATTATGCCTGCACCCTGGAAATGCGCGGCGGGTGTTAAGCGATGATAACAACCTAGAGCTGGCAATTTGGCTTCTCCAGTTGGTGCACGTAACTCGCCGCAATGTGTCCGACATTGCCAACCCGAAGAAGCTTTGGGTCCTCGAAACACAGCAAGGTGAACAGCTTGGACCTTTTGGCGTGAACGAACTCAAGCACAAGCGAGATAATGAATGCACCGACATGAGCTCATTTTGTGTTTAAACGTCTAGATGATCCGTCGTGCGAGTCGTCAACGACCAAGGGAAAGCTGATGGATATATCCCAACTGCGCTGGGAAGTGGGAATGTTCGGGGTGCTGCATCCACTTCAGATGGCACACGATGCAATTAGTATTTTGCTCTCAGTGGCGCGCTGCAACTCGTTGCTAGGTGACGGCAGCTCACACGGTGGTAACCTAGCATCACCTATTTTTCCTCTGCCTCGGGGCCAGACGACGCTATGGAGATACGCCAGACAAATTGTTCCTGTTTTGTTATGCAGCAATCATCCTAAGCTTTGGAAGAAGACGGCGACACTACTTGAGTTTTTGTATTCTGATCGGCTGTCAACTGCTACAACCGAAGAAGATGCCACCAATTTGGGATCGTTATTTTGTTGGGGTTTGTTCTATTTGGCATTCATAGGGGAAACATCCGATTTTAGAGCAATGGCTGGCCTGCTAAAAGCTACACATCGCCGTCAGATCGGATTCAATGGAACCAGTGCATTGAAGAGAATTCTTCCTGAGGACATGATAAACTTACTGGAAAATTCATCTCCGGCTGCGTTCACAAAAGTCTTTTGCGAAGGAGAGCAATCACCTCAAGTAATTTGGAGTGTCGAGATGCGAAAGCACTTGCAGACTTTATGCCAAGCCCACTTACAAGATTACGCTGAAGTTTTGGTCGAAGATGTGTCTCGTGAGTGGAGATTTTGCCCAATGGCACCTGTTGCATTTAAGGAACTTTCCAATGAAGTATGGTGTGGTGGACTTTACTTGGGCCAGTTCTGTGAGAAAGAAAGCTTTATCTCGGACCCGTTAAATTTTATGGCACAGCTGACGATGCAGTGGCGAGCTGAAGCAAGTCGACAAGATGCTGTCATTACTGTTGCTCAAGCACGACAAACTTTGGGTGTTTTGGATGAAGAATGTCGTGTTGCTACTCTTCGTGCTGGGTTCAAGGAGAAAGCCAGAGCTTTAGAGCCGTCAGACATTGCCTACACCGACAGGTACGAGGTAACGATTGTGTCAGTTGGTCCAATAGCGATGCTGACTATATTTTTTCCACTACAGGTTGAGTAGTCTGCGAGAAGCGTATCGAGTTTTGACATGCCCAAGGCCGACTTTGCTGTCTGCTGGACATGACCCTGAAAACTTGCTACATGTGCTCAATTCCTTGGTCGTCATGTGCAATCGCTATCCGAAACAACTCGTTGACTACGAATTTGATGCGTATGATCTCCTGCTTCCGCTCTTGTTAGCTCATTGCTCTGCGGAAGGAGTTCCCCTAGAAGGCACGACCATAACCCAGGCCCTTGAGATCTCAGTCTTCGCAGCAAAGCTTGTTTACAACACGTGCGCTGTATCGGCTGTCAATGAAAGATTGCTGTTAGAACAACCAGGGTTGAACACAATAGAGAAGGTGGTGAACTTTTGCGTTAACTCAGTCGTGCGCTGTGAAGCCACACAGAATTCCGAGTTATTGGAAGTGTGCGTCTATTTGTTTCAAACTATCACGGGGCTTTTGGCCACCCTTCCGGGTCAGCACTGGATTGCGGAATCGTCAACATTGCAGGTGGACATGGTTCGTATTCTGTGGCTTTGGAACCACGCCGGACGAAAATCATGTTTGCTATCAAAGCTCACGCAGCAAATTCTAGAAGGTGCTTTCTGTTTTAATACTTGCAACTGCTTCAATGTGTGTTTTGTGAGTTTGACTTTAATGATGTTGTAAACTAGGCATATCGAGAATGGCAGAGCTAGAAAAAAACCAGAACCGCCTTGTCAAGTCTGGAGTCTTGTGGCAATTGTTCGTGATCTTCTCGACGTATGATGTAGAGCTCGATAATACAATTGCCGATGCACGATTAAAGAAAAGCCTTGGTTGCAAAGAAGAAGAATATGCAGCTGTGACTGGAGAGGTTCAAAATCGATTAGCCGTCATGGCAGTTCGTGCACTATGCAGGCTTGGTGGGCTGTTTGCTAAAGAAAGTGGCCTTCAATTCCCGTCTAACCCAATCGTAAAGAACGTTGCCGACGCGCTAATGACTCCGAATTTGTCTGAGCTTCTTTCGCTAAGCAATTATTACGAGTTTCTGAAGATTTATCACGGAGAATGGGAGTCCTACACGCTATTTTGGAATCGTGAAATGCGCCAAGAGCAGATAAACTTTGTAACGCCAAAAGCTAGTATTGAGCCTGACATTTTTACAGACGAATACTACGTCGACGCTATTCAATTCCGGTTCATATATTTGGCAAATCGGTTTTATGTCGGTGGTCTGTATATTGAAATGCTCATGGGAAGCTTACTGGTTATTAAAAATAACCTAGGACCAGCGCCAGTAGCTGAATTTGGTCTTACTGAAACATTCTTTAAAGAACTGTTCTCTTTCATTGACAGCGCAGAGCTTAGCTACCCAGAGTTTGTGAATGAAGAGGGGAACGTGCAACAGCTTGCACCTTATGCTGGCTGGAACATTGATGAAGAGCAGCGGACAACAATGGATCGAGTCACCGCCCTCAAATGCTTGTCAATCGTAACTTCGGTAGCCCCGGGACTGGTCGAGAAAAACATGGTCACAAACGTCACCGCTATGAAGATGGTGTTGCGTCTTTTATTTCCACCCGATAACGAAGTTCACCAAAGCGAAGACGCCAGGAAGGTTTTAGTATTCAGCCCGCAGCTATATGCTCCATGCCGGTTGCACTGTATTGCAACATTAGAAGTGCTATCGACACTAAAAGATTTTGGAATGACCGCTCTCGAATTTGGCATTTGTGATGTCCTGATTGAATTGGTGCATGTATCCCAAGGCGTAGGAGCGGAGGCACTTGGGATCATCCGTAATCTATGTGCAAATGAAGCAGGAGCAAAGTGCATTTCAGAAATTCTTCAATCCGGAGTATACTTGGAGTTCATCGGCTGGTTGTTGCTTGAAGAAGAAATCAGCATTGACGATGACTTTAAGTCTGTCGAGAATTTGCGCATCCCATCAGCAATGATTTTGTCAGAAATGGTTAAGGACGGAGCACCATTAAACGTTGAATCAAGGCGCGCACTCTGTCGCTTCTTTCCTCCTGCAATCGTTCGGACAATAGCTTCAAGCCCTGATACGATCGTGGAGTATATTATGGCAAGTTGCACAGGCTGCTGCTGTTCCATTCGTATTCTGACCTGTTTTTATGCTATTTTCATAGAGTGACCATATGACACCAGAACTTGTGTGGAGTGCTGAATTCCGCAAGCACCAGAGAAATAGCATCACCAGCTTCCTCGATATATACTTCTCGTCGTCATCGACGACTGAGACGGAGAATGAAGATTTCATATCGGTGGTTGACTCGTTCGAGATTGATTACACTAGTCTGTACCCGCACCCCGTGGTTGGCAATGTATATCTCAGGTTGTTCATGGACGACCCAACGTTCAGGTTGCACGATCCTATGTACGTCCTCAACGCTTCGTGGTGAAAATGCTTGCGTTTTTGTCGTAATGGTAGTATTCATACTATTTCGTCAACTGCAGGTATTTTATGACGTGCTTGTGGTCTGAGTTTGAGGTTCTGTTCAAGCAACTCGCTCATGTTACACCTGCTCTACGCGCAATGATGGCACAGACAGATGACGAAATGATACAACGTGATATTGACCTGATTAATTTGGTCGGGTCGTCTCTAGTGTGTCTACTGCAGGTAATATATGGCTTAACATCGTTGCTTGGTTTAGCATAATAACCTTGCTATTTGTTGGACATGTACACTTAGGTTGAGACATCATTGCTGGACAGAGTAGCGAAGATGCAAATTCCCGCAAAGTGCTGCGACTACCTGAACGACACAGTTCGTTCTCAAGCGAGTGAGGCATGCGTTGTCAACGTAATACGGATCTTCCGAGTTTGCACAATGTCTCGTACCTGTATCGCATCGATGCAGTCAATATGCTCCACGGCGTTATTGTGTTTGATGGCAGTTACTAACCCAGGTCGAGGAGGCCCACTGCATTTCGAGAGTGCTTTTGTTCTAGAAATTATGCGGCGAATGATTGTGAAGTGTCTAGAGCACGGTGAGCGAACTGCAAACCCAAGTATCGTATGTCACGCTAGTCGTCTGGATCTGTTTGGGTTTCTCTTGAACATCCTCGATAATCCTAATGCTATCGGTAAAGTAAAGGAGCCACACGTCGTGCGCGCCGAAGCAATCGAGATTCTAAACTTACTCGAAAAGGTGCAAAGTGTATTGCTGGACATGCTTATTGAATGAGTTGTAACTCGGTTCTGTTGTTAACACTTTCAGGACCGTGTCCAAGGAAGCACTGCCCACCAGATACTAAAGAAATACAAGAAGTGGCAGAAGAGCTACCGTCACGAGTCCACTGATGCGGTAAAATCCATGCTCACCGAAGACCCATTTTTGAGGTCCTTGTTTCCTGAGGCAGCTCGTGTAATACGCGCGTATATGCAGATAAACCCTACAGATTACAATTGACCAGGAAGCAATGTATCCGTATGCCATGTACAGACTATTGATGTTTTGCTAATGCTGAAGGTCGCGAGCAACAAATTCTTGGATAACATTCATATCACCTACGACTCTTATTATTTTCGGAAGCCATCACGTTGATAGCAGTCATTGCAGATGAGCGTTGTCTTTTTTGTAAGCAGACAACAGACACAACTAATGCCTGAGCAAAGTCTTTCTTCATACGACTACTTTCAAAGAAAACAGATCTATTATCTTGATCAAGAAATCGATTAGCAATTACAGCAAGCGCATCATTGGTTTTGCAAACGAATTTTGCACACTGCCAAGCTTTTCCTGTTGCAGTAAAAAAACTGCGCAACTCCGATTGTTCTTTACCGAGCACGCGATTTTGGAACCGTACGAGAGACCGTCGACACACCATCAACGAACTTGGTACGGAAGACCACATTCGCGTTGTTGAACATGCCTTCTTTGAGTGATACTACAATGAACTGTGAATGCGAAAAGTGTGAGCGAATCATCTGGCCGATATTTTGGGTGTGCGACAGATCCAGAGCAGCATCAACTTCGTCCAGAATGTACATTGGGGCCGGCTTGAAAAGCAAAAGCGACAATATGAGAGACAGCGCTAGTAGCGAGCGCTGACCACCACTCAGCTCTGTCAAGCTTTCCTTCCACACGCCACCAAACGAAACCCGCACTTGAAGTCCATCAAGAATGGTTCCTAACGTGAAAGCAACAAAGTCAATAATAACTTAATTTGCCATAGTCAGCAAGCACACAGAAAATTACCATTTGTAGGCGGGTCCAGCTTTGCGTGCGTTCCAGGCAGCAACGTGCCGAAGATGGAACCAAAATCCTTGTTCACCTTCACCCATGTTGTCTGAAGGGCTTCGTTTTTCTTTGCATCGAGCTCCTTAATGACCGACGTAATCTTCTCCTTGTCGTTCTCAATGATATGCCGCTTATTCATTAAGCCTTGGTACTCTTGCTCAGCCTTCTCAATCATCCCCATGACTTTTTTGTTGATCTTCTTAGACAGGGCACCCTGAGTTTCCTTCAATTCTAATAGACGACGATTCGCGCTCAATGGATCTCGTCGCTGGAAGTCATAATCAGTGTGCTCGCGTCCAAAAAACTCCTTCTCAGTGGCAATCCACGGGTGTGCTTTCTCCAGCTTCTTTACCGTCATCTTTGCATCACTTTCGTCCTTTGTCATCCGAGAAATTTTGTGCTCAGCCTTTTTGCGTTCAATCTCTAAGTCACTTCTCTTTTTTGAGAGAGCACTCTGACGAGCACTAAGCTCCTGAAGCTGCTGGTCACACAAAGTCAAGTCGCTACGTCGCTCTTCCAGCTTCTTGGAAGCCTTCTCGTAAGTATCCTGGATTTCAGCTAGCCTGTCTTCCATCTTTTTTTCCTCTTTACGAAGCACAGCAAGCTCTTTTTGAATACTAGCTACATTTTCGTTATTACCTGCAAGCTCTTGTTCAGCGGATTCTGATTCCAATACCAGCTCAGATAGTTCCTGCTGAGCAGTCTTGAGATGCACACCAATCTTTTGGGTCTCTTTTTTAGCCTCTGCAAATCGTTTCTCCAGCACAACTATCGTTGATTGTCGTGACTCCTTCAAATCGGCGATGTCATCGCCCAGGATCTTTATTTCATTTGTCAGCTTTACAACCGCCTCCTTTTTAGTAATCAGTAGCTCTTTATCCAATACGAACTGCTCTTCAGAAGCAGCGACGTCACGTTCCAATTGAGCAAAGACACTATCGGCAATGCGCTCGTCAAGCAAGTGCAGTTCGTGCTCCTTCAATTCAATCTGGTGTTTTAACTGACGGAAGTGACTGGAATCCTAGACAAACATACATCCATCAGTGCTGTCACTACCAAATATGTACTTAACATGTTAGGTCAAAGTCAACAAACCTGCTTCATATCATCCAGCGATCGAGAACAGTCCTGGTACTCGCGTCGCATATCGCTGAGCTCTCGGGTACGGTTAATCAGTTGATGAAGCTTAAGAAGGATTGGGATACCACTCGATGGTGCAGAGCCTCCTTGAAGCGTGCCCGCTGGGTCGTAAGAATCGCCATCGAGAGTCACCGTCTTAACCTTAATGTCCCTGTGAAACGTAACGTTCTTCGCAAGTTCGCTTGTTTCACAAATTATAGAAGAGCCAAAAGCGTACTGCATCGCTGGAAGAAGGTCAGGCTTGAAGTGAATCAATTCCATCGCTTCCCAAACTTTCCCACCTTGCTGTTGGGCAACATCTCGGGCCTTGTCCATTTTACGAGGGTCTACTGTTTTGCGCGAAATGCGGTTAAGCGGAATGATTGTGACGCGGTTCATGAGACGGCCAAATTTGAGAATGTCCTTTGCGGTCTTCTCGTTGTCCACCACAATCTGGTACAGTTTTCCACCTGCCGCAATTTCTAAAGCGAGTGCGGACCACTCGTGCTTTGTCTCGAGCAGGTTTACCAATACACCCAGTACGCTTTCGCGGTTAAAGTTACGGTAAGGATCCGTGTACTTGAAATCCAATCGGGACGATAGCCCTGATGATATCTCATCCACACCTCTCTCGCCACGAGCGATCTTATCTTGCAGCTTACGAACGCGGTCGTGCAGCTCGCGCTCGTCGTCGGGGTTGAAGCTATTGGTAAGCTGATCAACTTTGCGCTGCATATGCTCCAGCTCACCAATCTTGATCTTACGCTCTTCATCCATACTGCGGTTGTTCATGCTGGTTTGCTCGATCTCACGACGCTTTTGCTTAATGCTTTCTTCCATATGCTTCAACTTTAGGTTAATCTGTTTGATTGCAGTGCTGTTCTCCTGCAGCTCTCGCTGCTTCGACGCAAGACGCTCAGATAGAGACTCATCGCTGTCTCCAGTTTGATCCATACCAGCATTCAGCGCCTGAATCTGACGCTGGTAGTCATTTGTCTCCATCTCCTTGGCTGTGTAAGACTCTTCAATTTTGTTTACCTCCCCCTTGGCTTTTTCAATATCCTTGGCCAGCTTCGCCATGGCCAGTTCGGTCTCGGCTTGTTGATCATTCATACCTGCTTCCGCGCTCGTGTGTTGCTCGATCGAAGCCTTGCAGTGTTTCAATTTAGTGGTGAATTTGACCACTTCCTTGCTAATCTTCTCCACATTATTCTTCAACTGCTGAAACTCCTTGCCCATTTCCTTCTCCCTTTGTCGATGAAGTGCCTCAACTTCCTCTTCCACTTTTTCAATTTCCTGTTCAATCTGTGCTTCCTGTTCCTTGGCCGTTCGTTGAGCCTGCTGCATCTTTTCTACATGCTGCGCAGTGTTATTCAGTGCATCCTGCGCCTTCTGGTAGTCGTAGGCGACACAGAATCTTTGTATCCGCTCCATCTCTGTATTATTGGCTGCCCACTTTAAGTAATGTGTTTTTTCAGCTCGCAGTTTCTCGAGCGTGGGGGTGATTTCATTGGCCAAGATGCTGTTAATCTCGTCCACTTTCTTTTCCTTCTTAGTCATGGTCTTGAGTGCAGCTAGTTTCTTATTCTCGTACATCCTTGTGCCAGCCGCTTCCTCAATCATACCAAGAATCTCCGGTGGTTTCATGTTAAGTACTTTAGTAATCCGACCTTGCATGATGAGAAAATGTGGATTATTGACATTCAATTGTACTGAATGAAAAAGATTCTGCACTTGACTTACTTGAGCCGTATGACCATTAATCAAGTACTTATTACGGCCACCAATCACGACCTGTCGTGCCACCGAAATCTGTTCGTATTGCTCGTAACCAACAGGTGAAGCTTTGGCATCTTGGTTATTAAATACGATTGTAACACTAGCCTTTGTAACACCTGCTTGGCCTTGTTTGTATACAAGTTCCTGTAAATTATTAGCGCGCACTTGTGACAAGTTGGTAATACCAAGTACAAAGCAAATGGCGTCTAATACATTTGACTTTCCACTTCCATTTAGACCCGTGATAGCATTAAAACGAGGATCAAATCCACTGACAACAGTGCGTGTTGCATAGGACTTGAAGCCGTCCAAGATAATTTCTTCAATGTGCATGGCCACGAGGATTCGCTTGGCTTGTGTTTCTCTAAGGTTTATGGTTGATATTGACTTTTATTGATAATGTAGGCTCATTTGTTTTATTTATTACGCAATATAGCCAATAGTGAGGGAATATTTCATGAACTATATTGTTTCGAAATAAAAGACACGTATGAGAGTGATGGTCACGGAAGTTGAAGTTAGTTAATTTTGCCTGTACATTGATGAGGTGTTGTGTCCTTACGATCGATATTTTTCGTTCCTTTTGTTTCCTTTGTTGTGCGGTAGGAAAACATAGTGGTGTAGATGACAGTGAAGCACAACGACAAGACTGGGCACTTACTTTATGAGGTGCACAAGTAGATTCCCACGACACATGGAACAGAATAGAACGATGCTAGTGGGCTACTGGAGATAAAGAAAGATCAATATACTCGCTAGCTGGAGAAGGCTAGATACAGTATGACTAGCGATACTGTAACGATATGTTATTGGCATTGAGAGACATGCTCACGCCATGAAGCGAAAGAAATACCGCGCCATGTGCTGTGGGAATAGCATTCGACAAACCGTGCGCAATATCGTGTTGAAGATATGACGTAGGGTCAATGCAATAACGCGACAGATTTTTAAGGAGGAATCAGCGCAGATGAGTAGATTTTAAGAATGATGTGGTGACAGAGAAACATGGTGGCCGTAATACTGTTATGATGTTGAAACTACTAGCCGAGCTAGTATCATCGAGAAGACCTCATCTGAAGCGTGAACTTCCGATCTCTTCTGACATTGTATAACACTGCCCAGCTTTTAACTTCGCAGTGAACTGCTAGCGGTTGGTAGCAGTTCGATTTTTACGCCAAGTTTTAATGTGCCGACTGTAAAAAACAAAGGCAATCATTCTTAAGCGCATGTCATGCGGTCACAATAATCAACATCACTACGGTCTTAAATGCACTTGTGTGTGTGGCTCAAATCATATGCTCACCATTTGAATTGGATATCGAACTGAATGATTGCTTGATATTTTGTTGATCACACAGCATCAGTTGCCAAAAACGCTCACTACTTGGAGCTTTAGCATGCCAAGTTGAGGAAGGTGCGCACGAACTTTGGTGGCAAGACTGTATACCTTTACGACACGTGGAAAACTGATCTGCAGAGTTTTTGCTCTAACCCCGACATATTACAGCGCAATACGCAGAATTTCTTTCGAGAGCATGCATTGAAGACTCCGCAAAATGTCATGTGACGATGCCCAAGATTTTCCACCACACACCAAAACAGGTCAACGTAAACAATGGCCATCATTTACAAAGAAAGTCAAGCCAGAGACAGGATCAGTTTCTGCAAACGGACTTTCTCCAGCAAATACGTCGACCAACAACGTTTGTGTTCGGCTCGTGTCGTCAAGATCCGCTTCCACACGCTTGTTAGCTCTTTCATCACTGCTGATGTCGATGCGCACCCACGAGCTCAAGGTCCATGATACTTTGTCAACGGGCGCCTTCAAGCCACACCCAATCGGTTGCATTAATCATATTCTTATTGTCTCGTCGTCAAATAGTGCGAGCAGTTGATGCGGATCGGAAGATGGACGACTACTGAAAGTATTATATGGAACAAGAGAAAGACCGGGCCTGATCCTCATACATACGATACCCATGTACGCCTCAGCTCTGATACGATGATAGTAAGCTGTGATACAGATAGGAAAATAGAGCAAAACAAAAGCTTTTATTTTAGTCTAAAGGCGTGACTTATTGGCTGAATGATGTTTCTGGCTGTTATTACCACTTATTACCGACTTTTTACACATTCCTATATATTAGCAAAATAGGAATTACTATTACAATACTTATATATTTATTACTTTTACAAGTAGTAATACTACTATTTACAAATATGACTGATCATGTCCTGAAAAACCTCGCTTAAATACTATTATTTTCTAGCTTGTTCTAAAAATCATATTTACAACTGTACGTTTCAAAGCCACACATACGTGTCGCTCTCGTAGCCTTCCCCCCTTGATACGTTAGAGCTCATTTCTCAAAAAAGTTTAAAGAGCGAAAAAGAGGTAGAAGAACGGATCAAAATGCGTTTCCTGCACCTGATCCGACCCGTCATGTGTGTCCTGCCTGAAGTGGCACAACCAGATCGAAAGATTCCATTCCGTGAAAAAGTTTTATGGACAATTATTACGCTTTTTATCTTTCTCGTATGTTGTCAGATCCCACTTTACGGTATTCAGACGTCAAAATCATCGGATCCACTCTATTGGATGCGTGTTATACTTGCTTCGAACCGTGGAACACTGATGGAACTTGGTATTAGTCCTATTGTTACATCAGGACTTGTCATGCAACTATTGGCTGGCTCTAAGATGATTGAAGTAGACCAATCACTCAAGGAAGACCGTGCATTGTTCAGTGGTGCTCAAAAGCTTTTTGGTATCCTCATTACGTTGGGAGAGGCTGTGGCCTATGTGGTCTCGGGCATGTATGGTAATGTCTTGGACATTGGAGCATTTAATGCTATTCTTATCATTGTGCAACTACTGTGTGCTGGTGTGCTGGTTATTATTCTGGACGAGATGCTACAAAAGGGATATGGTCTTGGCTCAGGTATCTCACTCTTTATCGCTACTAACATTTGCGAGAATATTGTGTGGAAAGCCTTTTCCCCCACAACAATCAACACAGGCCGTGGTACGGAGTTTGAAGGTGCTATAATCGCTCTGTTTCACTTGTTGATTACCCGTTCGGACAAACTGCGCGCGCTGAAAGAGGCCTTCTACCGTCAAAACCTGCCCAACATCACGAATTTGCTGGCCACTATGTTTGTTTTCATTGTGGTTATCTACTTTCAGGGCTTTCGCGTGGACCTCCCGGTCAAGTACCAGAAACTGCGCGGTCAACAGGGCACGTACCCGATCAAGCTCTTTTACACCTCCAATATGCCTATCATTCTGCAAACAGCTTTGGTATCCAACCTATACTTCATCTCGCAGTTGCTGTACAAAAAATTTAGCGGCAATTTTCTCGTGCGCTTGCTTGGCGTGTGGCAGGACGTGGAGGGAAGTGCCGGTCAGACAGTGCCTGTAGGTGGAGCCGCGTACTACATGTCTGCTCCCAGCAACTTGGCGCAGATCCTGTACGACCCGCTGCGTTTTGTCCTCTACGTGATTTTTATCCTCGGCTCGTGCGCGCTCTTCTCCAAGACATGGATCGAGATCTCGGGCTCGTCGGCTCGTGACGTGGCCAAGCAGCTGCGTGACCAGCAGATGGTGATGAAAGGCCACCGTGACTCGTCGATTGTGCACGTGCTCAACCGCTACATCCCCACGGCTGCTGCTTTCGGCGGCATGTGCATTGGCGCGCTGACCATGGTTGCTGACCTGTTGGGCGCTATTGGCTCGGGCACCGGTATCCTGCTGGCTGTGACCATCATCTACCAATACTTTGAGACTTTTGCACGGGAGCAAGCCGAGATGCCGCTCAGCGGTCTTTTTGGGTTTTAAGTGCTTCGCTAGGATATGCAGAGTAATCTGCACAGTCAGTTGACAACGACAACGATGATCGAAGAAGGTGTGCTTGTTTCCGTTTAAGAAGCATTATCAGGTGCTCTGCTGAAATAAAGGAATTAGAAAAGAGCTTCTTATTTGAAGACAAGCGAATCGGACGTTATCATTTTTGCTGCTCCTTAGTTTGCGGTAGGTAATAAATACGTCCTTTGAGACTTCTTTGGGGAAGTTTAAGGTTAGAGGGGTGACGATGTGCTTGGGTGACGACGATGTGCTTGGGTGACGATGTGCTTCGATGCAGATCAGAATTACATTAAGCAATAATTTGTTTCCGAAGGGCAGTACATTTGCAATTGGCTCAAAGCGAAGAAATGTTGAACGCAGCGTCTTGTTTTATCGACTATCTCACAGCGCTCGGCGGTCTGGGTGGGCAGGTGGACGGCTGAACTGTCGACGCGCACTTGAGCTGCTGTCTGGGGACTCTCCAGACCCTGGACTATAACCGCGGTAATTGCTGCTGCTCGTGAACGAATTGCTGGGCCCACCACCATTTTGTACGAAGCTGTTTGAGCTGCTGAAACTACTTGCGCCATTGCTACTTTCGCGACTCTGACTAAGCTGTTTTGCCTTTGCACCAGCTTTTAATGTCTTGTACCACTTGTCGTACTTGGCAATGCGATCATCCTACAGCACGCAAGATGGTAAGTCTCAACCAACTTGTATCGTAACCGAAGCAATAAGTGCGCACCTTAATCTTTGCATCTTCCATGAGCTTTATAATCTGCTCCTCTTGTCTCTTGATTCTACCTTCCAAGACAGAGTTGTCGCTACAATAAAAAAGCAGTAGTGAGTTGCCAGGGCGATGCTAAGGCGCTTGTACCACGACATTGGGACTTACCCTCCTGCACTGCTTGGCTGTAAAACAACTTGGCCTCCGCTGCTCCGCTGGCGCCGCCATTCCTCTAAAGCCCTCTTGATCATCACCAACTAAAAGCATGGGTGTTGTTGCCACTTTTCAGTTAAGTTTCAGTCATCAAACCACTAGAAAACAACATACCTTCTGATTGTAGTCTTTTTTAAACAGATCCATAGAGCTACGAATTTCGCGGTTTTCAACTTGTATGTTTGTCAATGCCTCGCATTTCTGACATAATTGTTTCACTATAATCAATTACTTTTACATTAGAAAACTGAAGCAAAATACCCAGCTTACCTTTACAAGCTTTGTGTTCTCGCTGCTAAGTGTCTTCACAGTATTCAGCAATCGCACAATCTCCATTTTCTGGTAAGCAACCGCCTCCTGCAATTCATTCAATTTTTCTTGACCACATAACGACTTTTCGTCACTAGCACGCCGTGCTTCCTCATACCGATGCGGCGTCAAACTATTATCTTTCGTTGGGGTACCATCGGATCTCCGCTGACCTATCGGGCCTCGACCACCAAGCTGCTGCTCCATTAGGCTGCAGGTCCACAATATCGTTTATCAAGCCGCCATCGTAAAACACAACACAGCAGTCAAGATATCATACCGTTGACGCTGATTCCTCATTCTAGATGCGACCGCTGCTCGCAACGTCGACCCCCCATCCACCGCAGTCGCCACCACTCCCACTGTCGCCCTAGACTCAATGTTAGATCCATATCATCCGACACCAATTCATTAGCACCATTATAGCTCCTACCTCGTTTTCGCTGGCAGCAAACAAAATGAATCTCCTAATGACGACGACAAATGCCGTGACGACATCAGCAAGTTCTGCAATACAAACAAGCAACAGTCGTTAGCATCCATACATATGAATGTTTCCTTCTCTTTCGCATTTTCGATGTGTCCACCTTGTCTGCTGATCCAGGACTAGACAGTCCAATCTCATTCAACCGCCTCCAAAGCTCCTCCATCTCTGCTGCCGCAACATGTAACTGTGTCTCCGATCTTTGTCTCTCCTCTGGATTAAGATCACCGACTACAGACTTTGACTGCCCCTGTTTTGAAATTGTATTGCTCGTGTCTTCAGTATACCGAAGCATTTTGTCCGTATTTGCTTTCATCGTCATCTCTTCTACTGGACTGGGGTTCCTTGCACGAGCCATCTTAGCTCTGTATTCATAATTCTCAGCCAATAGCATCAAAGCATCAATCGTATGCTTATCTGAGACGTGTTGTGCCGCAAGAAGGAACTTTTCACTCGCCAAATGACCTTCTTTTTCAGCTTGAACATACTATACAGAAATATGACAAATATGGAAAACGCTAGTGTTATTTTCAGTGCAGAGATACGCGTTGGATATAATAACAACAAAGCTCTAGTACATACATCATCTCGACGTAGAGCTTCCTCAGTTTGTACGGCGTGAAAATGTGCCTGAACAGCAGGCGCAGAGCTCTCGTATTCTTCGATTTCTACAGCTTTCCACCCCATGCTGATCTTAATCTGAGTATAGAACTACAAGAATGAGATAATGCAATTTGAATCGTTATAATTCGTATTGATTGACAAATCAAGAAGCGTATCTCTTTGTGCTCTGTGACATGTGCAAAAATGTGTAGCCACATAATTCCAAGCATCCGAAGACGGTGATCAATCGATTTAGAAGAAGTACTAAAGCAGTCCACTCAATCACAAAGCCAAGACATTGAGGATGAGGACTGGCTGACTTTTCTTCACACATGTTTCTACTATCTACACAGAGCTGCTGTATCTCGTGTCTCAGCTCATCACTTATCTGACGTACCTTGGCATTAGATACTGTCGATAAACCGCTCTGCCCGAAAGTAAGGGTACGTTCAATTCCACGCACAGACAAACCTTGAACGACGTTGCTATAAGAGTAAAACCAGTATCAGGTGAAGTAGTGTGGACATTCTGGCTACGAAAACTCATGGGATCTCGAAGTGCCTCTAGGCTATAAAATTGCATTGGTTCGCAGCACTGTGGCCCACGTCAGAGAGATAGGAGGTGCGTGGCTGCAATGATGTATCGTTAGGATGGAATAGTTCGCACGCAAGGATAGCTAGCAGACTCGGACAGAGATATAAACACACACCCATACAATTTACTTTTTGGTTTGCAATCCCAGCCGTAAGCTCGTCTTCACCTCGAAACGTTAGTCAGTATGACACAGCCCAGCCAGCGGTCATCATAATGATGTGTAGCTTTATATTTTAATTGATTGTCTGCAGCTCTATTTACAGCATATACCGTCAATCTAATGGTCTGCTATGAAATGTAAATGCATAGAATAATGGAAGAATACAAAGCTATGAATCCTGCTGCAACTAGTCTTCAATCGTGTCTTTGCTTTTATTAGCAATGAATGGGACAAACTCAGCGTCTATCGCTCGAGAATAGTGTCAATGGAGAGACACGATATGCTATCTAGCAATTGAACACTCCCCACATACATACGGCTTTAGTTTACGCATTGCAAAGATATAAAGATTTACGTGGTATGTCGTAAATCCGCCGAGTCGCTACATTCTGCGAACTTTTCCAGTGGATTGCAGTTGGAACCAGAGATGCTAGTGATTTTTCATGTTTCTCCATTCATCGTAATTTTGTATCAATATATAATCACTTTTAGTTAATACAATTGACATGAGTGATGTTCATGAACAGGATAGTCCGCTATTTAGAATCCTGATGTTCTTTTTACGGATGCACCAATGATGGAGTAGGATGACATCCATCAACATGGTGCTACGTTAGTCGTCACCATCTATCGTTTTGCTACTTTCTTAGCAAGTTTATCTTTCGGGTTAAGCTTATTGTTTAAGCAGTTCATCTTTTATCAGTTTTGTAGCAAACAAGGACGAAATAAATGCTTGTATTCCAAAGGTTAATGCTGCTCTTCTGCGTGTTTCTTCTCGTGGTGGCAACTTCGGTACAGGCGTCATCTCGTTATCGTTACAGCAATGGATATTTTGTTCAAGGAAATCGTAATCTGCTTATCCCAACGACGAACCCGCTTCGTATGGGTCTTGTAGAAGGGAAAAGCTGGCAGCACGTACACGATAAAATAGACGAGAGGCAGCGAAATGGGGTTCATATGAAGCTTATTGTCTTCTTGCGTCATGGTGAAGGAACGCATAACGTTGCTATCGAGAAGTATGGTAGTGAAGCGTGGAATTCATACTATTGCAAGCTACCAGAGTATTTGGACGCACCCCTGACAGATAAAGGAGTCAAGCAAGCAGAAGAAACATCGAAGAAGCTGAACGCCGAGATTGGAAATGGTTTACTGCTTCAACACGTGCTTGTCTCGCCGCTTGAGCGTGCGCTGCGAACATCCATCATCGCGTACCAGAACCAGACTACCAAGCTGAGCATAAAATCAATAGAATTGCCCCGAGAGGTGCTGGGTGTCGATACGTGTGATAAACGACGAAATATCTCTGAGAAAAAGCTCGAATACCGGGAGGTGGACTTTAGTGGTTTCGAATCCAATGAAGATCCATGGTGGACTCCAGACTATCGAGAAAGTGACGTCGAGCTGGAGATCCGTGCAACCAAGTTCCTGGATTTCATTTTCTCAAACTCATCGGCAAAAAGTATTGGTGTAGTTTCGCATAGTGTGTTTGGTGCTGCACTTTTGCGCGTAGTCGGACATCGCGAGTACAGCCTTGGGACGGCCGAGTTATTGCCACTTCTTATTGAAAATTTACCAGAAAGTAAACTTTGACACATAAGAGGATGTTACAGGAAACCGTTACAAGCAGCAAGTATCCACATAGATATGTGAAAACAAATAGCCGAGTCGATCTCTCCGTTACTTTTCACTCATCGTTTCACCATTCTTGCTGCAACTGCAAAAGTGTTATCTTCATATAAATGTACATCAGGGACAAGACGTAACAAAATCAATCGAAACATTTCCAAGATAAAAACTAGACAAAAGCCAGCTAAACTTTTTTTTTGAAGAATTTAACACAGTGCTTTTGCTTATACGCTTTCGCAACAAGTCGTGCATAGTCCGCTTCTTGGCAAACACCTATCTGCATTCGACGGCCCCGATGCATGAACAAGCAAAACGTGGGTGCCGACAATTGGAACGAAAGCGCAAGCTGGTGGTTATCTGCATTGGATCACGGGCTGCTCGCGGATACATGGCCGTTGGCTAGTCAAAAATGCGTCGGTAAGGGTTAACTTCAGTGCTACTGGTCATCGGGCTTGATTGGATAACTGAAAGATCGTTTTAGTATGTTATTGAAGGACAAACACATTGAGGCGTTCGACATCATCTCTACCGCTGACTGGAGGGGAAAGCGAATGTGGCGTATTAACAGGCAGGTGGGAAATCACTCGAGGGTGACCGATTATCCATGAGATGTCTCCTTTAAAGATCCGTTGAAGTCGACGGGTATCGATCGCAGCATCGTGTTAGGCTGTCAAGCCCATACGATTATAGTCACTATGATTGCACAGTGACCTTAATGACGTCATCTTGCGCCAACACAATGCCGCAACTTGTTGAACGGCATTATAAATATACAGGGCAGCTACAAATTGACCCCGCCCTGACTCCGTTCGATGCTGAAGTCGATCGAGCTGGTAGCTAAACATTGTTGATGACATATAAAAACCTCTCACCTCAGCTCCACGAAGCGCTAGCTCTTGAGTGGCGACGCACATCACCAGACATAACGCTTTCAACATGTAACAAATGCTCTTGTTGTAGCTCGATTTGTCGTCGCGTTGCCGGCGACTGATACTACATGAGGAATAACTTGAGACACAATAAATTTATCACGTCAAAGTTGCTCCTATGGGCTTGCCGCATCAAATAGCACCCAATTACTCCTTGCTCGGACGCATAAAGAAACAAAATTGCCCCGAAAAATTCTTACCATAAGCTGTTTCCTTGTATTGGGCCCCATGGTGAAAAAGATCCAGCAACGACTCTTTGCAGATGCCTGAATTCTGCATATCGAGATATTTTGACATAGGTGGCATCGTGGATGACCTGCGAGAACCAGTTGATTGCATCTTTGCACATAAGCAGCACAGCAGTACCCACGATAGCAACTATCGCTAGTGGCTGTGCAGTTATGTTCGGGCCAGACTAGTGACTAAAGACTTCAGTAGTACTCAAAACTCGGTCAGCATTTTGTTCTAAGAGCCACTACAGCATCCTTGCAGTATTGCACATAACTCGTCGAAATGCGTCGGGATATGGTCGAGCCGCAAGCAGAACGTCAGTCGTCAGTCGACCAGGTCGCAGTCGAGACCAAAACACCACCCAACTCGCCCACGACGTTGGCTACAAATTGTACAAACCAATTCAATTCCTTCCACGCTGCTCCCTCGTGTATCTTAGACACTTTGATTGTGACTTGAATGTAGTAGTTGAAGAATGCTGACTAAGGTTGTCAATTCAGAACTGAATTACTTAGTTCTGTCTCGTTTCGTTCTAAATCACTTGACTTCTTACGACTTGCGAGTCGCCCACGTCGGCTTCAACCCCTAACCTGGTTCTATCGCTCTTACAGCGTCCAGAATGCTCTAAAACCGTTTCTTTTTTTGTGCCCAAACAGTTCTTTTGCTTCCTTCTCTGTTCGTTGTCACTGATTTTGTATCGATTTGCTACTTCCTGACCTGCCATCAACTATTTCTGACCATGTGGTAAAATGAATCATTTTTGTGATTGGTCAAGATGCTTCAACTTCCAGGTATAGTTTCTAGAACAAGTTAAATTGGTTCAATAGCTAGATTAGCATTAATAAATATGCTACCTCCTTCGAGCTAGCTCATAACATGACAGCACATAAAAACTGGATAGTCAATGTCATCAGATCAAGTGAATGAATAGCTGGTGCGGCGGACGGGACATCAACTGTATTCTCGATATCTTTTTTCAGCCATTAAATTGCGGGTCTTTGAGCATAAAAAGCCAGACTCCACATGACTTATTAAAGCTGCATTTAACATAGCATACTCGTAGTCAGTAAGTAGCTCACGTGACGACATTGCATTGTATGTTCAGTCATTCTTTAGAACAAAGTCTTTTAACGACAGTGGTTTCCTTACCGACGGACGGACATTCTTCATAGCGAAACCGAGTCATTTGACAATTTATTATTAGTCTCGGATTTCGCGAATTCTACCGGCCCGGTTATATTCTCGGAACACTGTTTCAATCTGTCTCGGGCAAGCTATCAAGTGTCAAAGTAAGGATTTGCCATTGTTTGCAGTAGAGCTTCGATCAAGCAGCCCATTTGTATCTATTAGACACTTCTGTCGTACTCGTTTTCAGTTGCTAAATTGCAGCAAATGCAGCAAGACCTCCAGTCGGATACAACAAATCAGAGCCACACAAAATACCCCTTCGTCACACGATTCGGAACAGTTCGACAGGAAGAGACCGACCACGCTAACGCCTCTCAAGGTAAATCACTACCTATCGATTCAAGCATGCAATTCTTTCAGTGGTACACAGTACGCATATGATAGTTGGCGGTTGTGACGCTCCGGAACTGAGAAATTTTGCTGATATAATCTGCTGCAGAAGCTCTGACGGTAGCTGTTCTTTTCTCAGCCCATTCTCATCCGCTTCTTGTTTGTATTGTGATTATGACAGACGAGCAATCTCGTTCTACAACCGACGAGCGGGAAGAGACTTTGTACATCGAACAGGTACGCATCTTCGATTGCTAGCCTTCCATTTACCCACAGCTGGTATTTGAAATCTCATGCCATGTTCAAGGATGCAACGAATTTGATGAAAGGACAAAGCAGCGATGACGACCAGATACATGTAGAAGCAGCAACAAGCTCGCACGATCTAGCGCATAGGAGCAATGATAGGAGCGATGAGAATTGCGCTTCCATCGTCCACTTGATGGAGATGGATGGTGTTAGGATGGACCCAGAGAGCAATGATAACGTTGCCAGAAGGGCGAAACAAGCCTTCAAGGAACGAGTTGATCAGTTGGAAGCAGCAACTGTGACTGCCCATAAGGAATATTGGGACAGGTTACAGCACGTGTATCCTGCCTCAACCGTAAAAAGAATGAGGTTGACGGCGGTGGAAAACCTACGTACGACTGTGACAACGCAGCCTCGAAATGACCATGAAGCGTTGGATACATTAGCCGTGGCTGCTGCTTCTGGCTTTCAACACGTTGACGAGCAAGAAATAATATCTACAGATCCTGTAGCGACGACAGTGAAAAAAGCCAAGCGAACATATAGCCCACTGCACAATTCACTGCCTCTGGGCAACAGAGCAAGTAAGCATTTTTTCAATTGCGTCGCAAGTATTCACCATAACTAACTAACTAACAATTACTGCACCATTTACTGCCCTTATCCCATAGGTGAAGGCACAGGTAAGGAAGCACGTATATGTTTCAGTCGTGACACTTTTTTTTATCGAAGCTAAGTAAATTTGTGATTTGATTGCCTGCCTTTGGGCGACGGAGCAGGTAAGCACCTTTTATTCAAATGATGTTATAATTCTTTTTCTTACAACCGTGCACGGTCCTTTTGTAGACAATGAGCAACATCCCGTACAAGTTCACGACCCGACATTAACCGAGGCAGTGGACAAGCTTACGAACAAGTTAATGCAGCTCGTTGTTCAGCTTGAAGCAGCATCAGATGCAGCAGCAGCAGAATCTATCATGGCCGCTGCAGCGCTTATTGCCGTTGAGGCAGCGGAAATGGGGCGGTACGAAGAGGCAGCTTTGGCACGCATTATGGAGATCGAGGAACACCGCTTGGAGGTGATGCAAGGGCTTTTGGAATACGCAAAACGAAAGCAAAAGCGTAAAAATAATAATAATAATAAGGAGGAGGAAGAGAATAAAGACGGCGCTTTCGACTTGATGCCACGTGACTCAAGTGCTAAGGACACGGAAGTGGATGAAACGCAGTTGTAAGGCAGTTTAGCTAGCTATTCGAATACGCTTGCACCAAACAAGGTATAAACTGTTCGAAAGTGGCGTGCAATGATGATAAACAAACAGTAGTATATTGTTGATATGTTTTCACGACGTAAATAGAATTCATGTCTGCCACATTACAATCCATAGTTTCATTTTTCATTCTCATCGCAATGGACAGTAAAGCTGATGAGACAGAGAATGACGTCGACATGACGAATCCCAATGCGTCACAGGATACAGAAGATGAGGATGAGAGTAAGACACTTGTAGTGCGAAATGGCGATGTGACGACGGATGATGAACCGCAGGAAAGCACCGCCGATGAGGATGAAGAAGAAGACGAGGACGAGGATGACGACGAAGAAGACGAAGTAGACAGCGACGAGGACAAGGTGAAGCTCTCAGACAGCGCATCAATGCTTCGTATGATGCAAAATCTATCAGCAGATGAGGCGAGACGACATGAGCATTTTCGTCGCTCTCATTTTGAGCGTGGAGCTATGAAACGGGTACGTCGTGCTACTTAACTAGAGGCTGTAACACTGGACACTTTTTACGATTTTGTGTTTATTGTTGCTGTTACAGTGTATGGCTCAAGCAATTCAAGAGTGCACAGCTACAGATAAGAAAGTAACGAGTGTGACAAATGTCATGGCGATTGTTATGGCTGGTATGACGAAGATTTTTGTTGGTGAGATCACGGCAGAAGGTGCGTGGAATTCATGGGAATAATCTTTGGTCATCGGCCGGGCTAGAGCAGATTTATCTCATGCAGTTTTTGAGTAACAGCACGACGAATTATGGAGAAGAATGGTGAGACAGGGCCACTGCGTCCACGTCATCTCCGTGAAGCGCATCGTAAGTACTACAAGCGTCGACCATTGGCAAGAGGCCGCAATATGCGGCGTCTGCTTCGGTAAAAGATGCACAGCAAAAATTAAAATACTGGTGCAATGAATTGGTTTAAGTCTATTTTAGCGTCATAAGAATCTATTGTGGCCGCTTTTCTTCATTCAAAAGATGATCGTCTTCTCGAGGGGATATGGCTTCCTCTTCTTCGTCGCGTTCGTAGGTTTCATAGTTACTGCTGCGGCGTGGCGATGATACCGGTGGCATTGCTTTGACACGATCCTGACTGCCGCAGCAGTGGCCAAACGATGCGGCAGCGATTGTAGACATAGAGGAGGAAGCTGGAGCGAGCTGCGAAGACTGCACACGCTCAGGAGTGTCAGAGTAGTAATACCCCTCTTCATCCTCAGCAAACATAGACAGTAGTCGCTGGTCCTTTAGAATTTGACTGATCTCTGGAAAAGAAGGACGCATATCCGGGTTTTGATGCCAGCATGACCTCATTAGACGTGCCAGTGCTGGCGGACAGTTAATCGCAATTACTGGCCGAAGACCATTGACGACTGCCGTCATCTGCGTATAACACAAAATACAGGTGTTATATGATTTTCGGTCACTGAGCAGCAGCGTGGGATGAGTAACGCCTAACGTACCAGCTGGAACGGATTCATGCCTTGGTCACCGTAGGGCTTACTACGAGACCAGGTGGAGTAAAGCAAAATGCCAAATGAGTACACATCACCCTTCGTAGAGCACTGGATGCCACCCATGGTAGCCATCTCGGGTGCCATATAGCTTGGCGTTCCGACTTCTGCGGTCATTGTCGTAGCATCAGGCTCGATAAGCCGCGACAGACCAAAGTCGCAAATGTTGACATCTTCTGTTTCCGAAATGAGCACGTTTGCAGGCTTTAGGTCGCGATGTACCACGTTGCGGCTGTGTAAGAAGCCCATGCCGCTTACAATCTGGCTAATCACCTTCATAAAAACAGGTTCCTCCAGAGGGCCTTTGGCTGCTGGATTCTCAATGAGTGCACTCAGTGACTTCGGACAAAAATCTGTTACGATATACAACACGCGGTTGTAGTAACTCACACCATAGAAGCGCACGACATTGGGGTGGTGCAGACGACTCAAAATGCTAACCTCACGTCGGAAAAAGCTCTGGAAATATTCCTGACCGGTCACAGGACTATACAGCCGTTTAACGGCTACCACAGAACTGCCGCCGCCACTGTGCAACAAACTCCGGAAAACCTGACCAGATGTTCCATTTCCAACCTCGCACTGTAAAGATAGTGAATTGAACGGGATGAGCCAATCGCGGCTGTCGTTGGAAACAAAGTATTCCAGATCCGCCATGTCCGAAATCTCAACGTACTCAGACTGTGAAAAGCTGTTTCCACGGTTCAGGAATGGCCCTTGCAAGGCATGTGGCTGGCGAGCAAGGCGCCGCATGGTGCACATGCAGAAACCCAACGTTGAGAGTGCAATGGTGCCCAGAATGACGACCATTGCAAACGGGAAATCGTACGACTCACAGCCGTCGCCACCATAGCGAGCATCACAGTTACATACTGCTTCCGTTCCTGACATGACACACTGACCATGACCGCTGCAAGCTACCTCGCTTTCCAAAAACGCTGGGCACAGCTGGCAAGTGGGTCCTATATAGCCTTCAGCGCAAGTGGTACAAGGAAGTTTTCCTTCAAGTTTCCAACCTTCTTGGCACAAACATTCCCCAGTCCCGTTGATTCCACTGGAGCAACTACCGTGGCCACAGTCGTGTGGGCATGGTTGACAATTTTCACCAAAAAATCCTTCTTCACAATCGTAACAGTCTGTGAGCGAGTCCCAGCCACGATGGCAATTGCACTTGCCCGTGCCGTACAACCCGTCATCACAACGTCCTTCACCACACTTGCGACAGGAAATGCAATTCTTGCCGTAATAACTACTCATACAGCCCACGCAGTTGTTTGAATTAGACCACCCAACATCGCAAATGCATCGCCCGTCTCCATCGACCCCAGAGTTGCAATGTCCATGCGGGGCACAGATCGGACACGACCGACAATGAGCTCCAAAATGCTGTGGTGCACACTGACATGACATTGTCATTGGATTAAAATCCCAGCCGTCGTCGCAAAGAGAGCACCGACTTTCAGGAGTGTAGCCTTCATCGCAAATACAATCTCCGTCGCCACATGTAGTGTCATTGCAGCGGCCATGGTCATTGCATGTGCGACATGGTGCACATGATGGCCCGTAGAAGCCCTTTTCGCACTCAAGACACCGTGACTTGGACGAAAACCCTTCAGCACACACGCATTCTCCATCACCGAATAGACCGTAATTGCACTCGCCACCATCACAAGGTTTGCACGGCTGGCATGTAGGTCCAAAAAATGTGCTCATACACTCCATGCAATTGCTATGTGCGTCAAAGCCAACGGCACATGAGCAGCGACCGCTGCCTGCTAGACCGTCATCGCAGTTTCCGTGCGGAAAGTTGCAATCCGGACATCGCTTGCATCTATCGCCGAAATATCCGGGCAAGCATGTAGCACATCGGGTATCCGAGTTAAAACCTTCGGGACAGACACATTTTCCTGACCCAAGCAAGCCTGAATCGCAGCGGCCGTCGTTGAGGCACGGCTCGCAGGTTCGCTTGCAGTCCTTGCCAAAGAATCCACTGGCGCAGTCGCGGCAGTCTGGAGCAGCATACCCGTTCCTACAAATGACATCAGTATTATCACGGCGATATTGTCAGTTTACCACTTATCAAGCTTTGGTGCTCGTATCGTATCGGTCCTTACACGCATGAGCAGATACGTGGACTTATATCGTTTGGGGCACAGACACAATCGCCATTACCAAAACAAGCCGTATGTGAGGTGCCATTCCATCCTGGACAAACTGCGCATCAAGTAGTAAGTAAAGTAAAGATAGCATATGCACGAGCACGAGTCAACACCACTTGAAAACTGTACAAGATCGCACCTGTGTTTTCCTGAGCCTCAAGATAAATATTGATTTCCGCATAGCCTGCAATGGAGACCCCAGACATGGAACATACGGGAAAATCGTTGTGAGGACCGTTCCAGCTATAGTGAATCGATATCGGCAGGTTGTCACTTGTAATTTCTGGAATAATAGACTTGCGTCCTTGTGGTCCAACAATTCCATTTCCCCAGGGTGGAAATATGTTAAACATATCACCACAATGTGGATAGTTAGCTATGAAATAAACCTGCGACGGGTACACTGGAGACTGTAGCATCTCAACACCATTGATTAGTAGGCTGTCGACGGATCCACGTCCTCGGGCGGACGATTCCCAATCAATTTGCTTAACTGCTACGGACAAATCTGCCTGCCAGCACATACATCACAAAAGCTCATTAGCCCAACTAAAAAGCCACCACTGTTATATCACAAATTTATGTCCATCTGATCCAATTCAATCATTGATACATGTTTTCATACCTTACACACCGTCTGTCGTGTTAGTTTTAATCCTGTAAAGTGAATAGGCTCTAAAGGCGAAAAGATGCATGAATTATTTTCCCAGTGAAAACATCGTGCAATGATCTGTGTCTGTTGAACAAGTGCAAGAGATGGTATCATCGCTACCATTGCAATCCAAAGTGCAAACACATGGATCAACCATCTCCTGAATCGATTGGGTATCCTGCCATCTTGGCTTATCCGATGCTTTTTATAATTCTGTCCTGGCATTTGTCGTTTAATCCTGCGTATTTCGGTGCCAAATGACACGCTTGAGTCTCGACCTCTGAGCTTAATAACGCTCGTGCTCATCGATAAAAACGCGTAAGCTGATCGCTTCTTGTTGATTGAAGATGAAGAGCACCGCAAACTAACTACTAGTGTTTATATTGCTAGCTTGCCAAGAGCTTTTCAATTGCTAGTGCTTTGATACCAATAGCTTTAGGTGTCTGTATGTATGTAGTCCTTCTGATGTTTTGTATGCAAAAAAGTGGCAAGATTTGATCAAAAACTGTGATGATCCTATTTTTTACAAGACTTTTTACGGATCACCTGTAGTCTATTTTGAGCTTGGATTTATTAAGATAGCATCGTGTATTACTTTCCAATTGTTCATTACAATAGCAACGACATCATCGTCATTATTGTAGAGCAAGTGGCGATGTATATCTTTACAATAATGTAGTTGAAAAATGGATGCCACTCGGGGGGTGGGGGTAGCAACACTAGTCAGTAAGGGATCAGTTCGCTTGACAATATATACTTGACACGATGTGAATGAAATGTACAGAAAAACAACAATTTCTCGACGACTTTTCTCGTCTGCGTAGCCAATTACGGTTACTTTGTTGGCGGACATGAACCTCGTGGGGTTTGTTTTCTAGGCTCATCGACTTGACATTTGCGGAAGAAGTCGTAGATCTTTTGGCCTCGTGCAATCGAATTATAGACGGCGCACCGGGTGTCATTTACTTATTGGATGACGTACATCCACTACTTCTACAGAGGAAGCGTGGCGGTTAAGGCAAAGTAGCTTGGAGATTGAATATGCTCAAATTACCGCTAAAAAGTTGTAGTTTAGCCACAAGCATCTTTCATATTGACAATCTCCAGCTCTCGTTCGTAGCATTTCGTTCCCCATCGAAGTGGATTTCTTCGTTGAAAACATAGTTGTCTTCGGTCATAGTTGGTTTCCTAACCTAATGAGGTTGGTACGTAACAGAGGAGGGACTTGAGAACAAGAAAGTAATCGAAAAGTAAATGAGCTTTAAGAGTCTTACATATGCATTTAGCTAGCTGCTTCAACTTATAAGAGCAAATAAGATTTCGCTGATTGTTCTTGGTTCCCAACGCTTAACAGCAATTTGAGATTCGATCGACTGTACGAACCGATGACGATCAACTTAAGGCGACGCTTAAATTTTCTGAGTTTTCGTCTAAAACAGTCCTTACGTGTTCCAGTTCAATTCCACAATCCTGGATAACAAAGTGTTAAAACGAGCATTTCGTTCTTCGAAAACGTAACTAATTCTAATCTTTCCTATCACCGCTACAAGGTGCATAAACTATATTGGCGCAAAAAGCTAGCTATCGAAGATACAGACAACGTAAGAAATGCATTCTCACGATCAGCCAACCGTCAGAGGTGGACTTTGAACAGGCCTGCTTTATGACTATTCGGCTTGGAGCTGATATGCTAGAAGTTCTCATAGCTTTCGTTTTGCTTTAAGGAATGAAGCTCGCGAAGAGACGGTGTTTGTAACAGGGTTACAAGATATGTTATGGTGTGTAGGGCACACACAAGAAAGAAGTACACAATGTACACCATACGCGTTACAGCCGTGACATTTATTACATAACTTTATTAGGGTAAAATTGAGCTGGCCCATTAGCGATGGCCGCAAGCAATCATAAGTTCAGTTTACGCTTTAAATTAACAAAAGTAAAGCCTTTTGAAGGCATATCTCTCTTGGGTCTGTAACCGTTTATTTCTTGTGGAGACTTGTGCGTGCGTCACTAAGTATATTTGTAACAAGTACCAAACAGTTAGGTCCCTAGTTCACTACCCTGTGCAACACCTAAGCCTATCCTTCTACGATCCTTCTACAAGCTTTATAGTGACGTCATCTAATGACTTCATACTGAATTTATATATCAAATATAAATTCAGCTGTGTTATCCTAGCACACCAGGTACGTGCTCTGTCGCGCAGCACGTACCCGACGGACTGACATCTCCCCGGACTTGACTTCTCGTGGGCACCTGTACTAATCTCTGCCAATGCAAAGCGTAGCGGATAGTTATTTCTCGCTTCCAATAATTATCACACTCCAAGAGGCCGTTCTATGTTACAAAATTTTCTATGTGCACCCACAACTTTGTATTTGTTGTTGCTGGCCCAGCTCCTATCCTCACTTCTGCCGGTTCACTCACTGGCAATACCACATCGTTAATTGTAACCGTTTGTATCTGTGGTGGATTGAGTTTTCAAAACTACGTATTGAGATCCCAAGCCACTCACTGTGCCGGACTGCCGACTGTCAGAGGGGGTAGGTCTACCAATGATAGACCAGGGTCAACCTCAAAGGACCAACGGTCCATCTTAGAAGGCCAAGATCTACTCCCATAGACTCGGGTCTACCGTCCCAAGACCTCGGCTTCTGCCTTTAGCCTCACGACTTTGCATCGCTTCGAAGCAATTTAACCTTGTCTCCTTGTGTTCGAAATCCCGAAGTAAAGCTCCACAATTCAAATCCAATTCATTCACCCACGAGGGGTCTGCATACCCTTTCCATCGGGCGAGGAGCTCTCGTTGTTGTCTACCGTTGCGCGTCTTCTTCCCAGTGCGGGCTTTCAAGATTTTCTCGACCTCGTACTCTCCTTCTTCCATCTCTCTTGCCCAAATGTCCTCTGGCAACAGGCATTCATCGAAGTCAACCCGATCCATTTCGTTCGTCTCCAACATGGCGCTCGATCGATCGGGGAACTTCTAACCCTCTTGAGTTTGGAGCGATGTACCGCAAGGAATAACCTGTACTCCCTGTCTCGAGTGTCCAAACGTGCTGCGTGTTCTCCCATCAACTCTAAAACTCGAAATGGTCCATGCCAGAGGTGGGCTAATTTCTTGGCGTACCCTTCTTTCACGCGGTCCAGGTAGAGCCATACTTGAGTTCCCGGCTCAATCTTGTTGTCGACCACCCCTTCGTTATGGGCTAAGATCCGAGCTTGACTGGACGCTCGTAGATTCTCATTCACTTGGGATCTCGCCCGCTGATAGTGCAGCTGAATATGATATCTTCATCTGCGCAGTCCAGATCCTCGACGTCGCTTATTTATTATAAGCAAGGTAGCCTCGAGGGTGGTTCTAGCATCCCAACCATCGGACCAGATAGAACGATGTTTTCTTCTGGACTCGGTCTTGCGCGGTGTTCATCGCAAACGTTAGTCGTTTTGCATACTCTGTCCCAATCCTGCTGTCCGACATCAGAGACATACATCTTGGTGGACCTTGTCAGGATCCGAACCATCCTCTCCGCAGCCTGTTGACGCTGGCCCACCATGTGACTAAACGCCCAAAATAAATCCGAGATAAACCCTGGCTCTCGATCGTGGCGGATTGCCTCGCGAGCATCAAAACGGCGAAAAACGCATTATTCGTACCCTTCAGCTACCGTCTGGTCCGTTCGCGACACACTAGCTTTGGCCATCACCTAACCCGTGAGCAGGTCGAACCAAATTTGTAACTCGGTATTTTTTTCCTCTATGAGACCTGGGCAGAGAGGGAATATGATTCCATAGCTATAATCTGGAAAGGCTATGTTGCTTTGACATTTCCTGGAGTCTTTCCCCGCAGGGTAAGTCCTCCCTTCCCTGTCTCGCAATCCACACCTGTCCCCACATACCTCTGTGCGCTTCGGAATCAACCTCTCCAATGGCAGTACCGTCGGATCAGGTGATAGGCACGTCCAACCCCATGGTGATTTCCTTTCAGAGTGGTGTGGTAGTGATGCAGAACGTCGGCTTGGAGATTTTCGGGTATCAATAGTCCGGCCATTACTTCTCGGTCGTCTCCCTCGAACCTCTGACCGGGACAATACAATAGTAAAGGTACGAAGGGTCGAATCGTGGCAGCGAGCCACAATACTTAGTTTAGTATGGTGAATATGTATGTCTGCATATTAATAGACTATAGAGCCAGTAAATTGTGACTAGCACTTGAGTAGGTGCTTGTATATTTATACTAGAAGGTAAACACAATATAAATTAATCTCAAACCTGCTCTGAATAGCATACGTGCTAGAGCGTTCTCTTCCTTGGATGAAAGGAAGATGTATCTTTGATACTAGTCTCTTGGAGACGTGGTTGTTTGCAACCAAAAGACATCAGCTTGTGAAGCTAGCCTTGAGAAGGTTAAGAACCCTAAGACATATAAGCTCTTGGAGCTTGTCTTCCTCTGCACATAGTCATAAGTATCTTGGCTACAGTAGCTCGGCTACACTGAAATTCTTGATAGAAAGTTTGCCTCCTTCTTTGATCTGCATTAGCAGCTCCACTTTTAACGATTGCAACTCGTATCAATCATTCATGAGTGGAATACGCAGTTTTGGAGCCAATTGCTTTACTCAAAGTTAATTCATGCCGGTTTCGTTCATGTATTACAGCAATGTTAATGAAGTGGCAGTGGTAGTAGGCGTCTAAGTTGATGAGCTTTTTGTGACTACAACTAACACCTGAAGCGGTCGACCACTACTTTGTGAGTATGAAGTTGCTTTCGATCAAATATCTAGTCATGATAGCAGTTTCTAGTATGAGGAACATATGGCAACAAACTGTACAAAGAAGAAGCGATCAACGATGTTCCTTGCGAATAGCACAGGCTTATATGCAGCCAAAATCTTTGTGCTCTGCACTTCAAACGGTCGCAAATTTTCTTCACCAATCTTAATCTTAACCGGAACGCTTGAAAACATCGTTCAAAATTTTCTTCCTTCTCAGCTTTATCGTAAGCGTTCCGATTATCAAATGTTTTCCAGGTACACGTCATTCAACAGCCACGGCAAAAATCACTTTCATTGTACTCATCTCTGCAAATGCAGAATAATGTCGAATAGTCAATGCCAAATGACGTT